TATTTTTTATTTTTTTGAGACAGAATCTTGCTCTGTCACCCAGGCTGCAGTGCAGTGACATGATCTCGGCTCACTGCAAACTCTGCTTCCTGGGTTCACGCCATTCTCCTGCCTCAGCCTTCCAAGTAGTTAGGACTACAGGTGCCCGCCACCACACCTGGCTAATTTTTTGTATTTTTTTAGTAGAGACGGGGTTTCACTGTGTTGGCCAGGATGGTTTCTATCTCCTGACTTCATGGTCCGCCCGCCTTGGCCTCCCAAAGTGCTGGGATTACAGGTGTGAGCCACCACGGCCGGCCTATTATTATTGTTTTTTATAGAGATGGAGTCTCAGTGTCTTGCCCAAGTTGATCATGAATTCCTGGCCTCAAGCGATCCTCCTGCCTTGGCCTCCCAACATGCTGGGATTATAGATGTGAGCCACTGTGCCTAGCCCCTTTCCTGTTTATTTCGTACTTCCACTTTTCTGTTGCTAATACTATAAACGTATATTTGGTTACACCTGCCTTCACCTCTGTCCCACTGTCTGGTGAATGAAGTGACTTTTATCCTGCCTGGGAATAGACCTACCCCCTAATCCTGATCACATGATGACTTCTTTTTCCTATTTATTTATTTATTTTTGAGACGGCATTTCGCTCAAAATGCCCAGGCTGAAGTGCGGTGGCTCACTGCAACTTCACCTCCCGGGTTCAAGTGATTCTCCTGTCTCAGCTTCCTGAGTAGCTTGGATTACAGGTGCGTGCCACCACACCCGGGTAATTTTGTATTTTTAGTGGAGATGGGGTTTCACCATGCTGGCCAGGCTGGTCTCGAACTCCTGACCTCAGGTGATCCGCCCACCTCGGCCTCCCAAAGTGCTGGGATTACAGGCATGAGCCACCGCGCCCAGCCGGATCACTTCTTTTTCTACTCCAGCCTTTACTCCTACTCCCATTTATTGCCAGCTTCACTTCCTCTACAGTCTCTTAATCTTTTGGGGACTCCTCAGCAGTTTGTGAATATGTCTACATTTATCCTGGTGACACCGGATCTTCTTTAGCAACTGCCTTCTCTCTTCCTTTCACTTTACAGTCAAGTTTCTTGAAATAATAATTTATCCTTGGAATTGTGTGAATTCTTACTTCTCATTCACTTTCCAACCTATGATTATCGGCTTATTTCTTCCTAAACTGCTTAGGCAGAGAACACATATGGACACTTTCCTAAACCTTAGTCCATTGGGCATTTTGCATTCTTCCTTGTATTCTGTTCTCTGAGACATTTGACAGCGTTGATAATTTCTTCTTGAAACTAAAAACACTCTCCAGTTCCACCTTCTCTGAGCATTCTTTTTTCCTCTGTGCTGCTGTGGGCTTTCCCCTGCTGCCTTGTAGATGTGGTTTTCCCGTGCCGCCTTCTCTTCTGACCCAGACCATCTAATCAGTCTCCGGCCCCACTCTGGCTTTACGTACTTCGGGTGAGCCACGTGTTCCCAAACCTTTATCTTCAGCCCAAACATGTATTGTATTTAGCCCTGGCTAAATACAAAAATTAGCCAGGCATGTAGCAGGCGCCTGTAATCCCAGCTACTCGGGAGGCTGAGGCAGGAGAATCACTTGAACCTGGGAGGCAGAGGTTACAGTGAGCTGAGCTCCCACCTCTGCACTCCAGCCTGGGCGACAGAATGAGACTCCATCCCCAAAAAAAGTTAGTGAATTGTCTACAACCTTGTCCTCTTTGCAGGGGACAAGCCCGGAAAGCCAGATGGTAATTGTTGTGAAATCTGTAGGTTTATTAGGGTTTTTTTGTACCTTTGCCTTCCCAGAAAAATTGTAGTTAAAAGCATTGTTATAATGCAGATAACAACAACTAATGTTTATATAGTGCTTTATAGCATACAGACTGTCCAGATGAGAAAAATGAAGTACAGAAAGTCTATTACTTGTTAGAGGTAGATAACACAGCCTTTAAGTAGTAGAGCAGGACTTAGGACTGAGGCCTTCTTATTCCAGATTCTATATTCTTTTTATTATTACACACTGTCTCAGATTTGTCTATCAACATGTGATTTAAAGAATTAAAAAATTTGGCGGGGCATGGTGACTCACACCTGTAATGCCAGCACTTTGGGAGGCCGAGGCAGGTGGATCACTTGAGGTCAGGAGCTTGAGACCAGCCTGGGCAATATGACAAAACCCAGTCTCTACTAAAAATATAAAAATTGGCCAGGTGCGGTGGCTCACAACTGTAATCCCAGCACTTTAGGAGGCCAAGTTGGGTGGATCATGAGGTCAGGAGATCGAGACCATCCTGGCTAACACGGTGAAACCCCCATCTCTACTAAAAATACAAAAAATTAGCCAGGCATGGTGGCGGGCGCCTGTAGTCCCAACTACTTGGGAGGCTGAGGCAGGAGAATCACTTGAACCTGGGAGGCGGCAGTTGCAGTGAACTGAGATCATACCACTCCACTCCAGCCTGGGTGACCGAGTAAGACCCCTGTCTCAAAAAAAAAAAAAAAAAAATTACAAAATATCTATTTCAGAGGGCTATTCCTCCTCTGTTATCTCCATTCTCTTGCCAACAAAGAGCTCATTTACTTTATCATACACACACTCTGTGAAGAACTCTTTACTTCATTATTCCATGTGAACTGTTAATTGCAAGTAAAGGCCAGATTACTTGCAGTTCTTCTTCTGGGAACTTAAGTTCCTGGGAACTAAGTTCTTCTTCTGGGAACTTAGAACCCTCAAACAGGTTATATCGAGTCAAGAGAGAAATGTTCTTGATGTGCTGAAGACTGAACAAATGTGTGATTAGTTAAGACTTAGATATTGGATATGATTCATTCATTTGCTGGTTCTTGTTGAGCTACCTGTCTAACTGGGCACTGTTAGACTATCACAATCCCTGTTGTGATCGGGGTCAGAGGCAAGTTGGGGAGACAGGTGTTAACCAGGGACCCCTGCAGGGGAGAGAATTATATCACAGGTGCAGTGGAGGCAGTGTTGGAAAGCTAAAAAGGACCTAGAGAAGTGAAGAGGTCTAAGGTTATGAGCTATTTGACCTAGGAAGTTACTTCCCCTTGCTGGTTCTCATTCTTTTTTCCTCTATAAAATGACCCAGGTTGAATCAGTTGGCTTCTTAGTTCCTTCCACTTTATGAAAGTGCCTTTGTTAAAACAATGAGTCAGGAGGCAGCAGAGCATTCTATTGTGTGAACTGATTATCGAATAATAACACTAAATGTTTCGTTTATTATCTCTGTAAGCAAAGAGTTCAGGCTCAATGTGTCTACATTGGCTGCTTTAGTCGACTGAGAAAAACACTCATATCTCACATCAATGCTTGGCATTTGAGTGGGCCCTCTTACAATTGTTGGGTTATTCTGACATTTGAGGGATTCAATCCAGATCCTCTTTGTTTTCTGATCGTAGAAATCATCACCCCTTTGTCCCCAGTACCTGCATTTGATATGTAAAATGGGAGTAATAAACCAATACTTCTTTTTTTTTTTTTTTTTTTTTTTTGACAGGGTCTCACTTTGTCACCCAGGCTGGAGTGTAGTAGTGCAGTGGCACAATCTCAGCTCACTGCCACCTCTGCCTCTCAGGCTTAAGTGATCCTCATATCTCAGCCTCCTGAGTTGCTGGATTACAGGTGTGTGCCACTACCCCTGGCTAATTTTTGTATTTTTTTGTAGAGATGGGATTTTGCCATGTTGGCCAGACTGGTCTTGAACTCCTGAGATCGAGTGATCCTCCCACCTTGGCTTCTCAAAGTGCTGGGATTATAGGCGTAAGCCACCATACCTGGCCAACACTTCTTTTTTTTTTTTGAGATGGAGTTTCACTCTTGTCACCCAGGCTGGAGTGCAGTGGCGTAATCTCCCGTCACTGCAACCTCCGCCTCCTGGGTTCAAGCCATTCTCCTCCCTCAGCCTTCTGAGTAACTGGGATTTCAGACGTGTGCCACCACACCTGGCTAATTTTGTATTTTTAGTAGAGATGGAGTTTCTCCATGTTGGTCAGGCTGGTCTCAAACTCCTGACCTCAGGTTATCTGCTCGCCTCAGTCTCCCAAAGTGTTGGGATTAACAGGTGTGAGCCACCACACCTGGCTCTGAACACTTCTTAATAAACCTACAGAGGCTCTGATTCAGGAAGGAAGCAAATATTTGTTGAGCTTCTGCTACGTGGACAATAGTGCTAGGGAACAGTACGGTACATAATGAAAGAATATTCCCTGCCCTTGGAGGAATTTATGGCTTAGTAATAGAAAATAAAGAGCAAGATATACCTGGGCAAGAAAGTATAATAGGTGCTGTGATAGAAGTTTATCTAGGATTGGGGGTACAAATGTAAGAGTAGTTTTACTGGCTGGCAGGAGGGGAAATCAATGAATGGACAACATAGTATGGGGAAAAGGATGTTAGGTTTGGAGTCAGAAAACCTGGGTTTGTAGAATCTCAACTCTGTATATTAACTCTCTATATATTAGCTATATATTTTATTTCTTTGAGTCCGGGTTGCATTGTTTATATAAAGCAATTAACAATAGTCTTCCCCAGCCCAGTGCCATGGCTCACGCCTTAATCCTAGCACTTTGGGAAGCCAAAGTGGGCCCATCACAACATCAGGAGTTTGAGACCAGCCTGGCGAATGTGGTGAAACCCTGTCTCTATTAAAAATACAAAAAATTTAGCCAGGCATGGTGGCGGGCACCTGTAATCCAAGCTGTTCGGGAGGCTGAGGCTGGAGAATTGCTTGAACCCAGGAGGCGGAGGTTGCGGTGAGCCAAGATCACACCACTGCTCTCCAGCCTGGGCAACAAGAGCGAAACTGTGTCTCGGGAGAAAAAAAAAAAAAAGAAATCTGTGATCCTTGAAAACACATCCACCCCTCTACCTTGGTGGCATGTGTGGATTGAGTATCACTGCTCACCTGTGCTCTCGGACATCAAAAGGACAGTAGAGGTGTATCTTAACTCTGACCTTTTCCCCTTTCCTCCCTTGCACCAGATTTTATCATGTGGGCAACCTGCTGCAACTGGTTCTGCCTGGATGGACAGCCTGAAGAGGTCCCACCACCCCAGGGAGCCAGGATGCAGGCCTATTCCAACCCTGGGTACAGCTCCTTCCCTTCCCCAACAGGCCTGGAACCAAGCTGCAAGTCCTGTGGGGCTCACTTTGCAAGCACAGCCAGGAAGGTGAGTGCTGACTTCTTGGCCTGCTCTGCCACTGCAGCCTATGGACCATGGGCAAGCACTGCTGACCCCTCTGAGTGCCTGCAACCTTGCCTTTCCCTGTGTAATGCTGGTGACCCAGACCTGTCCCTTTCACAAAAATGTTCAAGAAGAACTAACCAAGTGGTTTGCTGAACTGCGAAGTAACCGCTGAGCTAAAGCCAGCCCGAACTAACCAAGTAAAAGCAAAAGCAAAGCATGTCAGCATAGATTTGGAGTCAGTAGACCTGAATTCAGTTATCAGCTTTGCTGCTTACTAGCTATATGATTTAACCTCTCTTGAGATTCAGTTTCCCTGTTATAAAATGGGATGATTGTTGTCCTCATCTTTCAGTGTTGTGGGAATAAAGTGAGACAAGAAAGCCATGAAGGGTGCCTAGCACGATGCTTAGAATGTCGTAGGCACTTGATGTTATTTACTTCATTAGCCACCATCACAAAAGACTTGATTGCAGATTAACTTGTTCTTTTTATCAAAAACAATGTTAAGGATGCCTCAGATACATTAGGACCATAACAAAGACTGGAGCTTATTTACTGTAGCAGATTTCATTTGAAATGCTTGGGAGCCATGCTTCCCAAATGAGTGAGCTGGAAGTAAAATTACTGGCTGGATTATGGTGTCTAGGTGTGCACCCTCCCTCTTCCAGAGACAGTGAGTTATCTGTGATCAAGCAGGACTAGGGCAGAAGGTAAACCCTCACCTGGATAAAGAACTCCTGCATTCTGCATTTTTCTGCAGAATGGGAAGTTTGCAGCCCAGAATAAGTGATAGGATATGATGTTAAAATGGTGATCATGCAAAATTTGAGAGGAAATCATACTTTTAAACCATCTGCTATGTGCAAAGGACTGTTTAAGGAATTTAAATTTTTTTTATTTCATTTAATCCGCACAATAGCTATGATATACATTTTAGAATCTCCCAAATCCCATTTTACATATGAGAAACTAGGGCTCAGGGTTTAAAATTTAAGAAGAACATTGAATGTGTTAAATTCCTGACAAATAGCATGAGAGATATTAAAATACTCATTCTTTTCCCTTGACTTCAGTAGCGCTCAAGATCACATAGTTATTAAATGACAGAGCCGAGATTCAAACCCAGGTCCTTGATTCCAAAGCCCCCTCCAGAAGACGTTCGGCATGTCGAGTAGAAGATGACAGTTATAGGCCTGGGTGCCTAGAGAAGCAAGGCAATGATTAAAATAAGGTGCTTTTTTTCTTATTTATTGGAAAATGAATTACTGAATATCTACTGTGTATCAGGAATTGCCTGGGCTAGGGAGGCAGAGATGAAGAAGGTCATTCCTGCTTAACAGGGAGCTTGCAGTCGCACAGGGAGGTGAGGACAGTGCACACCATACAATGTGACAAAAGAAAAGTGTGTGTAACAAGAAGAGCTTCTGTGAGGGGAAGAAAAATTCCAGTTTGGATGGTAAAAGATGATTATTGGTACAATATTTTCTTGCTACAAAAGTATGAATTAATTTTGTGCAATTTACAGTGAATTTTGTGAATATTAAGGGTGTTTTCATCTATGAAAATTTTTCATTTGTAATTTCATGCTTAAGTGGATCAGCATTCTTATCTTAAGGGTTTGGCATTTAACAGCCAGGGGCTTTCAAAGTGTCTTTTTCTAGAAGTGCTTGAATTGAAATGATTACATAGATCCTACTGTCTTTTTCTTTTCCTTTTTCTTCATTATGGTCAGTATTTTCTGATTGCTTTCTGGGTGCAAAGCACAGATAACATTCAGGACTTTATAGAGAGAACATAAGGAAGATGTGGCCCTTGCATTCCCTGAGTTTTCAGTCCTAAAGAGAAATGGCAGACTGTAATTTTGCCACAAGCCATATACCCCACCTCTATTGGTAATACCTCTCTGTGGTTTAGCTGTGACTGACAGTTTTGGAGGGAGTCTGGCACCCAGCCTCTTTAGTTGGACCAGTTGGAGGAGGAGGTTATGCTTGGAGCCATGGAAGTGATATTCAGATCTCAGAGTGTTAAGAGAGGACTGGGTCTTAGGTGCCGGTAAGGGGAAAAGAAATTAAAGGTGACTGTTTTACCTTTTCTGGAGCATCTACCTTGTGCTAAGGTTTTATATACATTCTCTCATGTAATATTTCCCATATTCCAGGGAATAGGGGTGGGAGGGAGTAGGAGCAAGGGAAGGGCAGTTGGCAAACGGGAGCCAGCAGAGCCCTGCACACAGCATCCTTGAAGGATGGTGCCCACCTGAGGTGCCATGGCCAGTTCTGTGATGCTGGATATCTTAGTGCACTCTGGGCATTTCTGCAGGCACGTTGGTTGCCTCCACTAATTCATCTTTCATACTACCTGGTTACTCAGTTGTTTTGAACCATTTGGTAGAATTTATACATAAGCGTGTCCTTTGCTCATTCTGCCTGCATTTGTTGACAGCCCTTTTTTCCTTTCCTCTTGTTCTCTCCTTCCACTGCAAACTGGGGTTTTAGCCTCAAGCCCTACCCTGTTCCTGTAGGGTGTGTTTCAGATGCCAGCTTATTTCAGAGTCCCCTGTGAGCCAGTGGGTGTATAGAAGCTAGGTTGCTGTCTGCATTCTGATCTTGCATCCAACAAGCCACACACATTTGAAGAAAGAATAGAGAGTTGTTTGGATCTGGCTGATTGAGCAATGCAGGCTTTATAATTGTGTCAAGCTAGGTCTTGTCAAACTGCATTGACTTAAGTAATATTCCATGTCAGGCCCACAGGTTTATGACATTGAAGCCTGTTTGTTTCAGTCTCAGTCATCCTAAGCACACTTCATTTCCCAATAGAAAAGCTTTAGATGTGAATGAACCCCAAATACCTGAAAACATCCATTTTCTGCCTGCGTGGCTACTGGTGCCAACACCGTTACACTGCTAGTGCAGCCATGCATCCTTTTAAGTCTGTCTCTGAACAGTGTATTGTTTGGTTATAACTGTGTGGAGAATTAGGGAGCTTGATATATGTCCCTTTGCAATGCCTTCTAAGTCTTAATAGCCAAAACTGGGTGGTAAATATTATTTTCTTTTCCTTTTACTATATGAATGATACTTAGACAAAACATATAACTATCTTAACTATGCAGACATTTACTTCAGTCCAGAGTGTCTGTGATCTTGACTATGAGAATCTTGTCTCTTAAGCATTCTTTTTTAGCTTGAACAGCTTTCTATATTTTGAAAAGATGGACCAGAAATATTTAAGTTACTACTTAAGACAACACAGGATGAAAAGTTTTTAACTTCTTTAAAGGATTAGTGAGGGTGCCCTTGAGGCCAATCCCAGTGTGCTCAGGAATTACCTCTCTTTTTGGGGGTGTGACATGCTCTTGGCCAGAACAGAGCTCAGCCAGATGTCACTGTGCTTGCTCAGCCTGTGGGGTGAGAGGCTGAGGATTGCTTCCTGTGGGCTGAGTAAGCCTTCGTGTGTTGTCAGTGACTGCCAGAGTAGCTGCTGCCAGGCAGTACCAGCTTGCCCATCAGGCGCCTGTTGCCTAACTGAGACACTCTGTGCTTTCAGTAACGAGAGTACCCTGATGTCCAGACGGTCTCCCGTTGCTATCTAAATATTTGTCTTGGATATGGTCATAAGCACCACTGGGTTCCCAGCACTCTGAGTGGACCTTCCTGGAGTGGGGAGCCTATGTCGATGGGGCAGTGGGTGGGGAATTTGGAGATGGGAAGCCAGGCCCTTGACTCAGAACTGTTCCGTGCTTGAATGGAACTAAGCTCTGCAGCATGGCCTGGTGGGAAGAATGTGATCATGAGCATTAGCCTCCGACAGACCTTGAGTGTGAATCCCAGCTCTCCTGTTTACTGCCTGACCTTGAATACAGTAGTTGATCTCCCTAAGCCTCGGTTGCTTTGTCTGTGGATCAGGGAAGAACACTAATACCTACTTTGCAGTGTCGCTTTGAGAATTAAATGACAAGCTAGCATATAGAAGCACTTCAGTAAATTAATATTAATTGTAACAACCACCATAACCTTCATGCAGAAATAATTATAGTTTAGGATTTGAATCCTGGCTCTCACCGTTAGCTAATATTTCCTAGCTATAATAAAACAGCTAACACTTGTTGAGGACTCATTTTGTGTTAGATATGCTAAATGAATTCTCTCTTAATCTTCACAACCACCCCATGAGGTAGATACTGTTATCAACCCCATTTCACAGATGTGGAAACTGAGCACCAGAGAGGCTAAATTACACACCCAAGGTGATACTGCAAGAAATAAGGGAGGGGAGGCTTAATAAAAATGCAGAACTTTTTGATTCTAAAGCTGGTAGTCTTGATTAATACCTCAGGTGCTTCGTGAATAAATAAAGTAAGCCTCAAATTAAATAATAAACGTGAAGTGTCCTGTACATGGATATACACAATACACACTGGAGGTCTGCCACCCCTGAGTGGCTTTTAATCTAAAATCTGAAAGTGGCTTGCACCCTTAGTTATGTGAGAGAGCTTAGTAAAAGTAAGAATGACTGGAGGAGATCCTGCTGGGCTTGGCAGCTCTGAAGCTCCCATCTCACTCTCTGTCTTGTTCTCTCAATCTGACATGGTTTCCTGTGTCTCTTCCTCTAAGCAGCAGACCTGCTTGGACTGTAAGAAAAATTTCTGCATGACCTGTTCGAGCCAAGTGGGGAATGGGCCCCGCCTCTGCCTTCTCTGCCAACGGTTTCGAGCTACAGCCTTTCAGCGAGAGGAGCTCATGAAGATGAAGGTGAAGGACTTGAGGGACTATCTCAGCCTCCATGACATCTCTACCGAAATGTGCCGGGAGAAAGAAGAGCTGGTGCTCTTGGTCCTTGGCCAGCAGCCTATAATCTCCCAGGAGGGCAGGACTCATGCCTCCACCTTGTCCCCAGACTTTCCTGAGCAGCAGGCCTTCCTGACCCAGCCTCACTCCAGCATGGTTCCACCTACCTCACCCAACCTCCCCTCTTCATCTGCACAAGCCACCTCTGTTCCCCCAGCCCAGGTTCAGGAGAATCAGCAGGTAAGGGCCCATTTGTAGTCTTTGCCAGTCCGTGCCAGTTTGAGGGCTCATTTTCATTTTCCTCTCCTGCCTGTGTTGTGAGAATGGGGTATAAGGCTAAGTGTCTTGATTATGTGAAGCCTTTCTGACTACTGGTGCACCAAGTGTTTTCTGGGTATCAGACTCATGTTTTGGCTTTCTTCAGAGATGATATGCACAGTACCAAGTTTTTTTGTTTGCTTTTTGTTTTTAATACACACATATCCTAGTTAGATATTTTTTTAAAGTTCATCATTCCAGAAATATTTTGAGAAAAATAACCATTAAGCCATCAGATTTAGTTCTGGTCCAATTTGTCTTCCAACTTAATTCCTTTGTTCCGGTCTTCATTGGCTGGATTGGGAACTTAGTTCCTTAGTAACCATCACAAGGAATATAGGAAAGCAAAGGGCTATGTGGAGGTAAGGAAGGGTGGGGAAACAGACAAAGACACTGCTTCTCTTACCAGTCACTGACTGGAAGCAGGAGTAGTTGGCATGCTGTACTTTTATGCTGCTTCTTCATTATCCTGGGGGGCTTGGAAGCTAAGAGCAGCACATCAACTGAATCATGACCCAGGCCTGGGGAGTACAGAAATGAGTAATATACTCTCTCAAAAAGCCCCCAGAAGAGGGAAGGTGGACACGTAGACCAGCTAACTCCTGGATTAGAGTGAGGCCAGTGGACATAACTGTTTTATAAGAAGTGGTGATGTTGCAGAAGTGCCTTAGTGACTCTGTTATTTATTGCAGCAGTCCCTAACCTTTTTAGCACCAAGGACTGGTTTTGGAAGACCATTTTTCCACAGACTGGGGCGCGTTGATTTCAGGATGAAACTGTTCCACCCAGATCATCAGGCATTAGTTAGATTTTCATAAGGAGCATGCATCCTAGATCCCTCGCATGCGCAGTTCACAACAGGGTTCACACTCCTAGGACAATCTAATGCCACCACTTATCTGACAGGAGGCGAAGCTCAAGCAGTAATGCTCACTTGCCAGCCACTCACCTCCTGCTGTGCATCTGGGTTCCTAACAAGCCATGGACCAGTACCAGTCTGTGGCCCAGGGGTTGGGGACCCTTGATATAGGGCTTGGGCAATATGGGGGAATTAGGAACTACGAGATCTAATTTCCACATCCCCTTTTGTCACTGACTTCTTGGTCCCCTTGGGCAAACGTTGAGCCTACAACAATGAAATGGGGTTAGTAATCACAGACCACTTTTGATCTTGCCAGGATCTTGAGAGACCTGAATGTGTGATACCATGTCTGAAAGAGCTCTGAGCTACTTACAGCTGGTATAGTGCTAGTGCTGTTAGTTCCTACACATGATGTGGATGGCTGCTACTGCTTGTTTATGATCACTTCCTTTGCCAGGACTGGGCCCCTGATTCAGCTCTGGACAAGCACTGAGGCATAAAGGCCAATGTGATAGCATAATTTAACTGCAGTAAAATCATTTAACTCCCTTTTTGGCCTGAGCATGTTTTTCTCCACAGCTGTACTTTAACTCTTTCCTAAGCTCTGACTCTTGGTCTGCTAGACAGATTTTAACTCCTGCTATACATTCTTCCCTTTGCTTGTGTGTGTGTGTGTGTGTGTGTGTGTGTGTGTTTTGTGAGCACTCTGTGTATAAGGAGCTAGGAAAAGAACTTGAGGAATTCTTTTCCTGTAAAGAACTTTGGCTGGGCATGGTGGTTCATGCCTGTAATCCCAGCACTTTGGGAAGCTGAGGCAGGCGGATCGTTTGAGCCTAGGAATTTGAGACTAGCCTGGCAACATGGCAAAACCCTGTCTCTACAAAAAAATACAAAAATTAGCTGGGCGTGGTGGTGGGCACCTGTAGCTACTCAAGAGGCTCCGGTGGGAGGATCATTTAAGCCTGGGAGGTCGAGGCTGCAGTGAGCTGTGATCGTGCCACCACACTTCAGCTTGGGCAACAGAGTGAGATCCTGTCTCAGAAAACAAAAACAAAAAACCAACCAAACCTTCAGGTAGATTTTTCAATGAAAGATTATAAGCTCCCTGTCATTAACCAGAAATTTCCAGATTGCACCTAAAGGTGACCCTACATACAAGATCTAAGTGGGTACTTTTCCTCTGAGATTTTCAGGAGACCTTAATGTCTGCTTACATCCCCTGTTCTGGTGAGAGCTGCACTTTGCAAGCAGGAAAAACAGGCATGGAAGAATTAAGTAACTTACGCAGTGCTGTCTGACAAGTTCACCAGTGAGCTGCACCTAGAATGTAAATTTCCTCATAATACTTGCTCAACCAGAGTTCTTTCTTCTACCTTTAGTGCCCTAGCAATCAATAGTTGCTAGGCAAGGAAGGTATACAATAAGCACAACTGTGGACAGATACTAGTTTCGGATTTTTATTTAACCAGTGGGCAAACTGGAAAGACAAGAGCATGCTTTGCAGCATGAGGTCGTTTCTCTTTCTAGGAAACAGGACATCTGAAAGATATCTACTTAGGAACAGGTTAGGCTCTGAAGGATTCCAGGGTAATTCCAAGGTGACACTGCCTGAGAGACCAGTGAGGACCTAGAGTAAGCAAAGAGAAAACATTGTTGATGAAGACATTGATTTGGATCCATCCCTATACATGTGTACTATGCATTTGATCTTGCCTTCACTTGGCATTTTGTTATTTCTACTTTTCATTTCCATTGCAGTTGGTTGCCTCCTCTTGATTAGCTCCATATTATGCATCCTAATGTGGGATGAGTGGCTGGGGTCAGTGGGTGACTTTGGTTTCCCAGATTGTCCCTTCACTGGCATCCCCAGAATCTGGTGGAAAAGGCCTGTGAGCTCAGACACCTCTTTGCTCTCAGCTCACAGCAGGCCCTTTGCATGCAGGGAGTAGTGGGTGAAGAGGATCTCCTTGAGGGGTTTGTAGCTTAAATGGTGATGGAATTAGGAGGCTCACAGTTCTGCCTACTCTTTGGCCAAACCTCCTAAAGGAGTACTCAGGAGGAACCTTTTGAGAAGTGAAAATTCTAAGCATAATGAAATTCCATAAGCATAGGCAGTGTTTTATAGTATTAGGCTAATAGATTCTTAGATACATTAAAATATTCTTTGACTAGGTCTAGACATAGCACTTAATAATAGTGTGCTCAACATGGAAACACATTTCCAGAATGTGAGAGTAGTTACTAGGCAGAAAAGAGGCTAGGGTGGTGATGGTCTGGAAACTTTGTCCCATCACTGTCAGATAAGGAAGCCAGGGAGATTTAGTGTGAAGGAGGGGAAAACATGGTATAAACAGTTTGGGGAAAAAACAAAACAAAACAAAACCCAGCAGACTATGGTTTGAGGAGCAGAACCAGGGATAGGGATTGCAATTTTGGATCAGTGTCAAGAAAAACCTTGATGCCAGATAGAGAGCAGTCCAGCAGCGGAATGGACACAGCGACCTTCCCTTCACCTGTGTTGCTGAAGCTGAGATTAAATTGATGGTGAGTGATGGCTACTGCCATCCTGGTGTGTGCAGAAGTAATGCAATTTTGTTCTAGAGGGCAGCTTTGTCTGTTGAAATGTATTTGTGTTGTTGCTCTGCTTGACAAAGTTGGTATGAGAGAGCAGGCTTTTGTAATGATGCTCTAAGAGGCTCCGGATTTCTGGGCGTGATGGGAATACATTGTGGACATTGTGTGAGTTGAAAAGAGGCCCATGCTATGCAGATCTCTGGGACATCTCTAGATGTGATGTTACTTTTCTCTTCCCACAGGCCAATGGCCATGTGTCTCAGGATCAAGAGGAACCCGTCTACCTGGAGAGCGTGACCAGAGCACCTGCTGAGGATGAGACCCAGGTGGGGCCTCTGCTGGGGTCTGTGTCTTCACCTTTGCTCTTTCACTGGTGTTCTTAGGAACCTCTTCGGGTGGAGAGAGAATAAATGTGTGATGATAGTGCTTCCGAAATTATATTTTTGGGATAGGGTTTAGTGTTAGTGTTCCAGGTTAACTTGTGAAGCTGTCAGTGTGTTTATAAGGAGTTGTGAGGTCATAGTGGAGACTGAGAAGCCTCATGGCCCATTATATTTCCAGTCTCTTGACTTTCCAAGAGCTGCCAGAGGGCAGGCTTGTGCTGCTGCTGTGAAAATCTTGTTCTTTTCTCCTGCTTCTAGCACACTGTAGCCATTGTCAAGGGAAGGAGGTCAGACAATTAACCAGGCAGGGCCAGTCCAGAGCACAGACCAGGGAGCTGTGGCCAAGATTGTGTACAGAGGAGTACTTGCCAGGGAAATGTGCCTCTTGTGGGCAAGTAGAAGTCTCCAGGGGAGAAGGGCCAGCACCATGCTGGGTTTCATGTGCAGCCATATTTAACCTCTACAGGACCCCTGTGGGGTATGACTGCTCTCTCCCCTTTATGGAGGGGCAAACAGGCTCAGAGTGGTAAGCAACTTGCTGGATATTATTTAGCATTAACCAGCAGAGCAGTCAAGATTCAAAATTAGGGTCATATGACTCAAACCAGCGCTCCTTCTACCATACTTCTATCTAGTACTGTGTCACACTGATTGGTTGGTCTGTGTCTGTTTGCTCCTAAGCACAGAATCATGGGTCAGGAAGAGATTCTGGTAAATTTTGCAATGCAGAGCCCCATGCCAGGTACTCATCCTGTCTCTGTTTCTACCTTTCATGAGGTCAGTCACCAAAATTATGATGCGGTGAGTGCTTTGGGGTCCTTGGAGAAACAGCTTGAGGAGGTAAGAGCTGAGCACACTGATCTCTTCCTTGCCATTGCAGTCTATTGACTCAGAGGACAGCTTCGTCCCAGGCCGAAGGGCCTCTCTGTCTGACCTGACTGACCTGGAGGACATTGAAGGCCTGACAGTGCGGCAGCTGAAAGAGATCTTGGCTCGCAACTTTGTCAACTACAAGGGCTGCTGTGAGAAGTGGGAGCTGATGGAGAGAGTGACTCGGCTATACAAGGATCAGAAAGGACTCCAGCACCTGGGTGAGGGGCTATCTGCATGGTAGCTATACAGAGCTCAGAAGTGTTTGCTGTCATTCCAAAGCCTGATGGCACTGACTTGACTCAATTTCCACACTTTTAGCCATGGAAGGAGACACCTTACATATCTGCACCATCTAATAGCTGTCATTTGTGGTTGAGTGTCAAAACTAGATTAGGCATTGCATATATTTATTCCTTAGAGCAACCTATGAAATAGACATTATTAGCATCACCCTTTTACCATAGAGCCCAGTTTTAACTGAGAATTTTCTGGTCTAAGTCCATAGCCTTTCTCACCATATGCTATCCCCTCCCTACTCACCACCACCTTGTAAGTTTTCTTACCTTAGCATAAGAATGCTTGTTCTGAAGATTTGGGAGGTAGAAAATGAATCTACATACATAGTAGGAGAAGGTATATGTTCTGTCCGCACTTGGGCTTTTCCTTTTGTTCATTTCCCAGGGCATTTTACACTGTATCATTTAGCAGATGCCCAGGAAAATATCTGGGTCTGTGGTTAAATGAGTTCAGGGAAAAATACCTCATACTGTATCTTCATTACTGATTTATGGTAGATTTTTATATTAAAGGCAGTGAAGTCCTGCAGAAGAGAAATGTGTTTTGGCTGTTTTGAACTTAGCATTTCCTGAAATTATTTCACCACAGAATCTTCTCCTTTCCTCCCATCCCCAGTCGATTCAGTTCCTACAGAGCAACATACTGATTCCTTGCTTGGTAAGAGTGGTCGAAGTCAGATTTCAGGCTGTCTGCTACCAGTAGCTCAAATTTATCAGTGTTAGGGGACATCTGACTGACTCTTCACCTGATTACAGACTGAGGACTACTGTCTGTTTTCCCTTTGGGATTGTTTCAAGAGTCTTCTCTTGAGTTGTCAGGACCTGGGGAACAGAACAGATGACTCCACGTGGGAATTTTATCCAGATTCCCTGACTGACTGATACAGCTAGATAGTTCATTCTTTCTTGACTTTATTGCTGGCTTCAAAATAGAAAAGCATATTGCGCATATAAAGTATCCTTCTACTTGGCAGTTTGTGCAAACTGATGGAATACATTTTTCTAAGAGTAGACCAGGGTGCAATGGCTCATGCCTGTAATCCCAGCACTCTGGGAAGCTGAGGCAGGTGGATCACTTGAGATCAGGAGTTCAAGACCAGCCTAGGTAACATGGTGAAACCCCGTCTCCACCAAAAACAAAAAATTAGCTGGGAGTGGTGGCATGTGCCTGTAGTCCCCAGGTACTTGGGAGGCCGAGGCAGGAGAATCACTTGAACCCAGGAGAAAGAGGTTGCAGTGAGCCAAGATCATGCCACTGCACTCCAGCCTAGGCAACAGAGTGAGGCTCCATCTCAAAAAAAAAAAAAAAAAAAAAATAGATCAGATGCTTTGTGTGAGTTCTGAGCATGTATAGTGAGTAAAGAGGGCTGATGTCCATTTAGGCTCTTGGCAAGCCTGGTTCCCAGCAGGGAGTGCTAAGAGTTCAGAAACGACGTCAGGGCAGTAAGAGACTTTGTTTGTACCATCATGCCATCACCTATTCAGACATCCTTCTCTTTCCTTTTCAGTCAGTGGTGCTGAAGACCAAAACGGTATGTAGTTGTTTCTGTTTGGGAATGGGTTTAGGCTCTTTTGTCCTCTTCAACCCCAATCCCTTTAGTAGTCTTAAGAATTCTGAGCATTTCGGCCTCCAGAGAGAGGGTGTATGGGAAACTCACAGAGACCCAGGGGGCCTCTCACCATCTTTAGAAATTCTCTCTGAGGCCAGCCGTGGTGGCTCATGCCTGTAATCTCAGCACTTTGGGAGGCTGAGGTGGGTGGATCACAAGGTCAGGAGATTGAGACCATCCTGGCTAACACGGTGAAACCCCGTTTCTACTGAAAATACAAAAAAATTAGCCAGGCGTGGTGGTGGGTGCCTGTAGTCCCAGCTACTCTGGAGGCTGAGACAGGAGAATGGCGTGAACCCGGGAGGCAGAGCTTGCGGAGAACCAAGATCGCACCACTGCACTCCAGCCTGGGCGACAGAGTGAGATTCCGTCTCAAAAAAAAAAAAAAAAAGAAATTCTCTGTGCTCCCTGTGTAGGAAGCAGCGTGTGGAGCATATCAGGGGTAGCCTGACTGATGTGTATGTCTCCACTAAAACAGAGAAGGGGTGGCATGTATCACACTCAGCTCATTTTAAAAAAATCCTGGTGTGTTCAGTTCTGGTCTGAGTAGGGAGGGTCTCTGTGTGCACCTTCTGGGGAATCAGGGTGTTTAGCAGCTTCTGGTACTAACCAAAAAGAAAGGGTGGTGACCTAAGACAGCCCTGTTTGTACAGGGCCGGTAATGGTTAGAGCTACTCTGGAGCTAACACATGTGCTACTCTCTGGGCATAAGCTATATATCTCAGCTCAGCTGCCATTCACTTAAAGACCACGCTGGGCCCTCAGGTACTCCCAGAACACACTGCAGAACTCCTGACCATCTGTGGGGACATTCTGAAATATGCTATGTGTTTTCAAAAAGCCTCAAGGGTATGTGGTTGTGAACTCCCTCCCAAGAGAACGTTCTTAGAGTAGTCTTGGACTAGCCTGCAAGCATTTTAAAACTATTTCAGAAGACTTCCCAAATTTATTTAATAAAATGGCCTTTTGCTCAGAATGGGCATCAGACATAAAAAACAGCTGAGCTTTTCTCAATTCCCCAAAACCATTTGGAGTTCTAGACCTACCCCCACCACCCCGCCCCCCAGCATCACCTGGTACCAAGATCAGGCTGATCTACTTGGTGCTTCCTTTCTTTGTCTGATTCCCTGGGAGAATGCTGACAGCTGAGTTAATGCGTTTGTTGTTACTCCTCAGAGAATGAGTAATTGAAAATTATAAATTATTCCCACTCATCTTAGGTATTTGTAGTCTCTAAACTTCTGTTAGGGCCAACAGCACCTCAAAAGAGGCAAATAGGTTTCACTCCCTTTCACATCCAGCCTACCTGCTAAGGGGAAGTATTTTTTAACTTTTGAATAGTCCAGAAAAGAGAAAGTATAGATGCAATAAGGGAGAATTCCTCTTTGGGGTGGCCAACCCCCAGATGGTAGAGGTGACTTGTGTGAGATCAGTTCCTTTTTATGGGTACCTACTTCAGGCTACAATTTAAGACATGTTGGAGATGGCTGGGCTTTTGAACATGACTTTTTCTGTTTGGGTCAGCTCTACTAGGATACTAGTCATGCCCACTATATTCTGCTAGTGACACAGGCCAGTTAGCATTTATTGAGAACTCTGTGCACTTGGCAGTTGATCTCTGTGGATAGTTTATACTCTTAGGGCAATTAGGCAGAAGGCCATTCTAGAGCAGGAGCTGTGGGGCCAGCCTGCCTGGGTTTGCATCCTGGCTCCTCGACTTAGCAGCTGTGTGCCCTTGGGTAAGCCACTTATTTTTTTGCCCCAGTTGGCCTCATCTATAAAATAAAAATAACAAGAGGTCCTACTTCATAGTTTTTGTGAGGTTTCAGTGAGTTAATACATGCAAAGCTTTCAGGACCCTGCCTAGCACACGGTAAGCATTCAGTAAATGTGGGATGTTGTCATTCCCTTGGGAAGATGTTCATTCATCAGACATTTAGAGTACCTACCATATGACTGGCACTGGGGGCTTCAAAGATGAGTATCTAACCTCGGAGCATGGAATAAACGCTAAGCATATAATTGTAAAAATTGATTGAATATGTAGAATTAAAGAGCTCACAGTCTACTGGGGCAGTAAGTAGGTAAACTCAAAATTTTAATCCAATGTGATAAACAGTCATGGGGGTATAAAAAAGTTTTGTGGGGGTAGAAAGAGGGAGCAATAATCTCTGCCAGGCTTCTCCACCAGGAAGTTTCCTTAGGAAGCCTGGGAGTAGTTCGTGAGATAGCAGAGGGGTCCCCTATGAACCTTGACTTTATTACATGGAGGATATGTTTATAGATAAGCCATGTGATCCTTAATGAACCATTCACCACAGTTCCATTTCTATCTAAACTTTTCTGAACCAGTTTTATCTTTTTAGCCTGTTCTGCCTCAGGGGATAATGAGTCCCTAAGTGCCACTCACACACTCACTGTATTATAGCCTTAGCTGTCTGGAAATTATTTCTTTTAAGCTTTGAGAACTTTGTCTTAGTTCTCATGTTCTGGGATGTATCTGATCCACAAGTACTGTACTTTTCAAATCTATACCTGTTGGAGGGGAGGAAGTGTGGATTAAACAAGTAACCCGAGTTGGTTACTGAGGAAATGCTTCCTTGGAGGAGCTGTATTTGAGGGAAGCCTGTGCATTGGGAGTTTGTTCACAGTGTACCTGTTATCTCCCACCTCCCTCCCCCAGTTACCCCTATATACTTAAGACAGTCTCCTCACTTACTCCTCTGCCCCTTTTTTTCTGCCCTGTGTGTTTGTACAGGGGGAGCAGTACCATCAGGCTTGGAGGAGAACCTGTGTAAGATCTGCATGGACTCACCCATTGACTGTGTTCTGCTGGAGTGTGGCCACATGGTAACCTGTACCAAGTGTGGCAAGCGCATGAATGAATGTCCCATCTGCCGGCAGTATGTAATCCGAGCTGTGCATGTCTTCCGGTCCTGAGAGCTTGCATCAGTTTCTTCAGTGCCTTACAGGGAAATAGCCTGGGGTGTCTGGGCTCAGGGTTGGCCAGCTTGCAGAAGAGCAAGCTAGTAGAAATACTGCAGTGTTCCCAAGACCAGGGCAAGCAAGATGCATGTCACCCCTGAGCATGCCTGTCTTGCCACAGGGGTGTACCTCTTGGCTGACAAAGCCCAAGGCCAGTGGGAACTTGTATAAATCACATGGGTATGTTCTTGGTTCAGTGATCTTGGAGTGATGATGGTAACTGATGAACAGAGAACTTTCCAGAACTTGGGTCCTGTCTTTCTCCCTGAACCTAGACACAGTTTCACCCCCTCTCCTGTACCCAGCCCATCCCCTCCCCACATGGGAAATGCTTGCCCATGTGTTTCATCAATCAGAAGTCCTCCTGCCCAGCACATTTGGATTTAAATTTCTGGTCTCTCCAGCTTTCTGTGCTTTAACTCTTTGCTAAAGTCTCTTGCTACACTGCCTAAATCCATTTATTTCTTTGGACCAAAAATGTTAGTTTACCAGACCGATAGTGGTCCTTAGGACAGATTTTAGACCAGTAAACTTACCTTTTGTGAGAAATGAAACACAAATGCTATAGAAAAATTTCAAAGTTATTAAGAGTTGCTTCCTTAAATGCTGGGATTGGAAGCTGTTGGTCTCCTGACCCAACTCTGGGAGCCAACAAAACATCAGGCTCCCAAACTGCTGGGAAATTTGTTTCTGTCTGCAAGGGAGTGTGCGTGCATAATCCCTGCTGCTGCTTCTCTTGGGACCTGATTTGCACCATCCTTAGTTTATGTGGAAAGGGGACGCAATTGGTGGAGGCAGTGGCCTTCTGCTTAATATTGACTTGGCTTCTGATCCTTTTCCTAACTCGAAGGAGTCTTAAGCCATTTTCCCCTGAGAATGAAATCCCTCCCTAATCCATGGTAGTTTTAAATTTGGTCTCATTGAAGAAATAGATTTAGGCAAAGAGCCTGTGCTCTTCTCTGGCCAGACTTCTCTTAAAGTTCCTGGAGAGCAAACGTTAAGACAGCACTTAAGAGCTTTCAGGAGGTACTGAATGAGACTGGATTCTGTTGTGAGCCGACAGTTCAAGTCTTTATTTCCCAGGTTGGTGGGGAGTAAGGAGACCCTACTTTCATTTCCTTTCCTAGCCTACTGATTTTTGGGGGCAGGTCAGGGAGAAAGCATTTTCTTTTCTTTTTTTTTTTTTTTGAGAGTCTCTGTTGCCCAGGCTGGAGTGCAGTGGTGCAGTCTTGGCTTACTGCAACCTCCATCTCCCAGGTTCAAGCAATTCTCTTGCCTTAGCCTCCGGAGTAGCTGGGATTATAGGCGCCCGCCACCACGCCTGGTTAATTTTTGTATTTTTAGTAGAGATGGGGTTTCACCACGTTGACCAGGCTGATCTCCAACTCCTGACCTTGTGATCTGCCCATCTTGGCTTCCCAAAGTGCTGGGATTACAAGCGTGAGCCACCACACCCAGGAGGAGAAAGCATTTATTCTAGGCTCTTTAGGAAGGACCATACAATGAGTAAGTGATTTTTTTGAGCCCTCACAGTCTTTACACCCCTAGAGGAGCTGGAGGGCTTAAGAGTTTGCTGGAGAAGCGTGGCCAAGCACAAAACACATTATCAGGAGAGCAGTGTTTTCCCACTACCAATGGATAAACTATGCAAACCCTAAATGCCTTGGCAGACAACTCCCACCCCTTATCCCTCCCATGCAGCTGAAAAATCTGAGACTACAGCCAATCATGACACTGGATGGCAGAGGGAAACCTCTAAAGGGACTTATTACATTGGTACAGATATATTTATGCTTTCCTTCCATCACCAACCACTAAACCCCTTTGGAGGAATGAAATAACTGCATAAAGTAGTTGTCAGCTGAACACTGGGCCACTTACCTCAACATTATACAAAGTCCTGGATGATTTGATTCTGAACCACAGCCTTTGCAGGAGTTGGGGGAATCAGATTTGCTCATGAAGACATCCCTTTCTGCTTTTCTCATGGGCAGTAAATACTATCGTTTACAATGCCTACCAATTTAGCAAAGGATCATTCATTCAGCTGCTCAGTTCCTCTGTAAAACAGATCTATGTATGTGCAATTCGGTTAAGATCTAGCAGTAACTTAAGGGCAGAAGCTGGCCCTCTACTTACAACCTGCTTTCTCTGCTGAAGCCTTACCTCCTCCTCCAACCCGAAAATAATATACTGATAGCTGGTTAGTAACCTCAGTGAGAATGAAAACTGAGGTCGTTTACTCATTTTGCCTTTTAAGTCTTTTATCCCCTTTTGGTGAAAGTTTCCCTTTAGGAAAAAAGGTGTCAAACAACCCTGATTTTTTTTTTTTTTTTGGCATCATTTTTATTACACCAAATAAAAGTTGGGAGTTCCAGGATCCCATTCCAGTTCATATTTAACCAAGATCTAAAATTTAATTTTTTAAAATCTTTGAATCTTCCCTCCTGCCCCTCATGGATCCTTGGTTTTAATTATCATGGAAACATCTAATTCTTACAATTATTCCGTAGCTTTTGCTGATTGCTCTGAAATTTCAGTTAAGACTTGTTTCAAAAGACAGATAGCTGACTGGTTCATAATACATTGGAATAGTTGGATCCAAACTAATAAGAGTAAGCTGTACAGGAACTAGTGCTCAATATACATTGTATAAATTTGTGGAAATTTCTTGGATGTGAATTGTTACTTCAAGTGGCTTACATTAAGATTTTCTCAGACTTACTTGGAGGTTAAAGCAAACCCAAATGTGTATTATTTTGTTACAGAGCTCTGCTTTATAATTTTGTAATAAAGTTTTAATACAGACACCTGTCTTGTCTGGTGTGAGGATGTTAGAGGTTGATAGCACTGACAAAAGAGCCTGACAGTGGTTCACGCTATAATTTCAACACTTGAGGAAGCCAAGGTGGGAAGACTGCTTGAGCTTAGGAGTTTGAGACCAGTCTGGGCAATGTAGTCAGACCTCGTGTCTACTTAAAAAAACAAAAAAGCCAAAAAAACAAAAAATTAGCCATGCATGGTGGTGCATGTGGGTAGTCCCAACTACTTGGAAGGCTGAGGTGGGAGGATCACTTGAGCCAGGAGATTGAAGCTGCAGTGAGCTCTGATTGCCACCACATTCCAGCCGGGGCAACAGAGTGAGACCCTGTATTAAACAAACAAACAAACGAACAAAAAATTGACAAAATAACTGATAAACCACAAGCTAATCCTGGGATGTGCACATGGCCTGGGATTAGCCTGTGGTTGGGTGAAGTGACAAGATGCTCAGTGTTGTTGTAACTTGCCCAGGACCACAAATGTAATATGTGGAAGAGGCCATGGAATAGCCTAGAAGAGAATGAGAGCTGGGTAGGAAAAGGATGAATCCCAAGACCAATTGGGTTGAAGCACCAAGTTCAGATATTTACACTGATCTAGAAGAGATGGGCCTTAAAGATCTGAAATGGAAAGGAATCAGGACAGCTAGTGTGCCCAGTTAGGTCTTCAGGTTACCCTGGGAGATACATGGTACCTTTTGGATACAGCTGTAGTACAGTTGGACTATGGCTCAGAAAAGGTTGGCTCAGGCTGGGCGCCATGGCTCATGCCTGTAATCCCAACACTTTGAGTGGCTGGGGTGGGTGGATGACTTGAGGCCAGGAGTTTGAGACCAGTCTGGATAACATGGCGAAACGCGGTCTCTACTAAAAATACAAAAACTTAGCTGGGAGTGATGGTGTGTGCCTGTTAAGTCTCAGCCACTCGGGAGGCTGAGGCATGAGAATTGCTTGTGAACCCGGGAAGCAGAGGTTGCAGTGAGCTGAGATTGCACTACTGCACTCCAGCCTGAATGACAGAGCAAGAGTCTGTTTAAAAAAAAAAAAAAAAAAAGGTTGGCCCAGCCTCGAGACAGACTGCTGTGTTGTGCACAGGCTTGTACAAACCTCCCTGACCAGGCGCCCAAGGCGCAGGGAAAAGACTCCCAAGAATGCAGCCCCTGGGAGAACAAGATTATGTGTCCATCTGCTCTGTGACTGAGAAAGGAATCTTGCCAAAAGGGCATAAAGGATCAAGGATGAGCCCCAACACTTTGCTCACATTGCCCTAGGGAGCTGACCTGTTCAGCGCCCAGTGATGACCTCTGCTTGATGCCAGCCAGCAGCATGTAAAGGTTCAGAAGAGGGAGGCCTCCAGCATTTTGCTGGAGAGATTTATGATGATGATGTTGAGGGTTGCATTGAAATAAATGAAAGAAATACATGAAAGGATACAAAATAGTATATACAGTCAGATCTCAGCAGCAAAGACTGGAAGAAAATACATAAAAAACCACTGACATTGAAATGGCAATAACACACACTAAGGCAGAGAAGGGACAAGATGATCACCTGCAGCCAGGAGAGCCCCTTTCCTGTGAGTGTGCACTCTGGGTGTAAGCAACCAGTAAGGGCAAGTGGGGCTGGGTCCAGGTTGGAGAGGACAGTGCCTTTGGCAGGATCCTGAGGAGACAGTCTTGTTCTGCTGCCCTGTCCAGTTGTTTGGCCTGAGGCTGAAGAAATGGAAATCTATGTAGGTCAGTACTCAAAAGAGGAGCAGCTTTTTGTCTCCATAGAGGATGGAATAAAAAGAGTACCTTATTCCTAATACTGAAGCCAGGCTGAACGGTGCCTATTCAGAAACACCAAATGTCCTGGGCTACAGTCAGGAAAGTAACCCCCTCCCCTGTGCTGTCCCTACTCCAACATACACATTTTAAACAGTAGGTGGAAGCCAAAGTCAATCAATCAGATCAAATCTGGGCCGGGCGGGGGCGGTCGTGCAGTACTCCTTGATCTTACAAGCCCAGAGCCTGCTAATTTGTTCATAAGGAGAGAACTGACCCTCAAAAGCCAGGACTGGGACATGGAAGCCAATTTACAACTGTATGGTGTCCTGATGAGCCTGCACTCAGAGTGGAGTGTTAGCTGAAACATGCAAACCTGCAACTGAGGGTTCTAAAATCATAGGTTAGGCCCTTCTCCCAGGTAGGGTCTGGACGTGCAAACCAGCGGTGACGTTCCCAACTCTAGATAACTATGTGGTAGGCTGTGGGCTAAGTGCTTTACATAATGTTGCTCAGGACAATAGGACAACCCTATGATTTAGGTGCAGTGGCTATCCCCATTCTACTTGGAGGGATTGAGGCTTAGATGTTACATAACTTGCCTAAGGTTAGAGCCATTAAGTTTCAAGACTCTGATTTGAGCTCCATCTATACCTGCACTGTCCAGTGTGGTAGTCACTAGTGACATGTGACCATTTGAAGTTGAATTAAACTAAGAACTTCAGTTCCTTAGTTGTGCTAGCTTCATTTCAATTGCTCAGCAGCTATCTGTGGCTAGTTTGGTTGGACAGTGCAGATTTATGGATATTGCCACTGCTGCAAAAAGTTCCATTGAATAGCACTTGTTTACACTAAATTGTCTTCCTTTTGTTCTTCAAATAAATCAGCCTCAGGTAGCACAGGAGCTGTTCTTTGTAAGCAGGTTGTATGGATCTGTTCTCAGGTGTGGATTTTTATTTTTTTATTTTTTTTCTTGAAGATATGGAGTATATTTTCTTTAACAAATTAAAAACTAAGAAAAAAATGCCACTCAACATTGTTGGTATTATCAATAGGTCAGCAGGGAAAAAAAATACTGTGATAAACTTGTCTCTCTGATACCAGGAAGAAATTCTAGTCCAAGCTTCAATATGCTTCCTGTGTTTTTCGCTAGGTATTTCTTTTACTGCCACTCTTCCTTCTTTCCCACATTTCATATTGGAGGATTGGTACAGCCTGTAAAACTTCATTGACAGGAACAAATCCAGTATGCACTGATGTCTTCTCAAAGGCACTCTAACCCATCAGATAGCCTGGCAGTTTCATTCACATGAATACTCCAGCCATGAGAAAACTCAGTAGGACACAGACGAATCAAATGAATAGAAGAAAAAAATCGATTGAGTTTTGGGATATTTGGTGTATTCGATTGGTCCAGGATTATGAAACCTAAACCTCCCATTGTGAACAGGAAGCTGGATGCAAGTCCTTCCATAATATACTGTCCATTTACTCTGTAGGCCAAGAAAGCTACTGGCCTTTGACGCCCACGTTCATCAGCCAATACTTGGGGGGGTCAACAATATCACAGAATTATTCCTCCAGTCATGAGGAAGACACCACCACCAGAGCATACACAGTCATGGCTGCTGGCAGGTGCAGCCAGGGTGACTTAGTCAGCTTCAGGCTGGGACACTCAAGCACTAAGAACGGGACACGGTACAAAGTCTCCACGTTGGTGGCAACAAGGGCTGTTCTTGGCCTCAAGCCCCACGTGGATTTTTATTCTTAAAGAACAGTCTTGTTTCCAGGTTTTGGGGAGGCAGATCTTCCTGGAGCCCTCTATCCCTCCAGAGGAGTGACCCAAGTAACTTCCCTTTCTTCATAAAGGCCCCATTGTCCTACCTGACCCTAGTCCCCTCCCTTCAAACTGGGAATCCTTACTCTGTAATAGGAGAACACAGAGAAGAAAGTCAAAAAAGTTCATTTTGTTTTCTTTCACATGAGGCTTTGTTCCTGGCAAAGGGTGTCCGGCCGAACACAAGTTCTGCTAAATGGAAGCATTTCTGAGGGCAGTCCTTTAAATACGACTTTAAAATGAGCCTGGAAGTACAAAGGAACAGGCAAGGACGGGAGAGAAGGCTTTGCGGACAGAGCTGCCATAACCCAGCCTTTACTCCTTAATCTCTAGGGAAATTATTAGGGGTGTAGGTGGGGAAAGGACAAAGACAACTGCAAGATATTTTATTTATAAAAAAGGTAACTAAGCTGCTTTTCAAAGAAAAAAAAAAAAAAAGATGGTAAACCCAGCACCCAGACCTGAAAGATCTATTTAAACCCAGCAAGAGAAACTGACTTCAGTTGTGGCACCCACAGCAACTAATTCCTGGTCCAGAAGAGACCGTGGAGGACTGGTGGGTTTGGGAGAAGCAACCCCATTCCCCCTATACTGTGTCTACCTGCCTCCAGCCTGAGTCCAGTCCAGTAGTATGGTAAAGAAGAGTATGGCCTGAGGGAGAGGGAAGACAGCAAACCTAGCAGGGAGCTACCAGTCTCCGTTTCCGGATACATGCCCAAATCCACTCTGGGGAGACCTGCTGGGCCGCAGGGTTCTTGTCCCTGCTACCCAGCACGTGCGTGGCTGAGGTCATATCAAATTCCTGTACCAGGTCCCCGTCGAATGCCACAAAGTAGCGTCTGAGACGGCTGAAGTCTGGTGTGGAGGGTGGCAAGTAAAGCCGCACTCCAGTGAAGATGTCCAGCAGAACCTGCAAATGCAGAGAGGTCACGGTGGGGTCAGACCTACACTGGGTACAGATGGGTCTTCACCCAGATAAGCCCAGGACAGAATGAGGGAGCCTAGAGTTAGGACACAAGCAGAGGAGTTTACTGGAATACTATGCATCAGTAACCCCACCCCTCCAGTCACTCCAAGTTATACAAGACTGACATGCCCCTCCATCCCTGCCTAGGGGAAAAGGAGAGGGGATAGGCCTTGACATCTGGGACCTGGAGATGGGAAGAGCATATGTGTGTAAGAGCCACCCAGTCATGGTGGGCAGGCAGAGCTGGCTCTGACTCAGTGCCCCCAGATTCAGTGATGTCCCCTGAGACCAAGCAGTCTACTCTGTACAACCTGCTAGACTGAAGGGTCAGGAGTCCTGCTTACTACTCTCAATGGGTTCAAGGACTTCAGGCTGGGAAGAGAGAGGGGAAAGGTTTCTACAGGTCTGTTGGGGACCGAGTTCAGGACCTGAGTTGTCAGACTTCTATGCTTACTCCTGGATGGCGGTGGGGAGAGTGGGGGTGCAATGACATGGGTGTAAATTATGTTTACTTCTCTATCTGCCCTTTGAGCCATCAGCTCCCCCAGAGTTGAGCCAGTACTAAACCTAGTTCTTGGCATCAGAAAGTGCTCAAAAGAGGCCAGGTGCGGTGGCTTATGCCTGTAATCCCAGCACTCTGGGAGGCCGAGGCAGGCGGATCACTTGAGGTCAGGACTTCGAGACCAGCCTGACCAACATGGTGAAACCCTATCTCTACTAAAAATACAAAAATTAGCTGGGCATGGTGGCACATGCCTATACTCCCAGCTACTCGGGAGGCTGAAGCAGGAGAATCGCTTGAACCTGGGAGGTGGAGGTTGCAGTGAGCTGAGATTGCACCACTTCACTCCAGCCTGTCAGACAGAGCCAGACTTGAGGGGGAAAAAAAAAAAAAAAAGTGCTCAGGAGATGTTGCCAAACCCAAGACTGACAAGTAAGTGTAAAAGGGAAAAGGTTCCTCAGGTGGGAGGAGAGTCACCAAGCCAGTGCCCTCTCCCCTTCTTATTGCTCGCTGGACCTGCTTCCAGCCTAACCACAAACTCACAATGCTGCATTCCCACACCCAGACTGGGCTTTCCCATTTAATGTAAATTTTGACTTGGGGCCAGCAGCTGAGTGAGTCCCTGCAGTCTCTCCTGGCTAGGCCGGGCTGTTCTATCTCCTGCCTGCTGGCACAATTCTCCTTCCTCTCTGCTCACTGGCTCGCCGCCTCTGCAAGGCAACAAGAGGACACAGGGTGAGCAGCAGCACTGCTGACCCTGCCCACGACAGGAGCAGCGGCAGGCAGGGAAGAGGTTTAGCCAATGTTCCCCAAACACCTTTGCTCATCCTCTTTCAAACTTCTTGTGCAGAGGGTTAGGAACACAACCTGGGCTAAACCGGCCCACGTGGTGTGTTGCTGTTTTTACCCTCACCTTTGTTTGGCACAGGGTCTCATCAGCAGCTTTCCGCTTCTCCCCTACTTTCACTGGAGAAGACTTCATGGCCAGCTTCTCTCCCACCTTCACAGCAGAAGGCTTTACAGTCAGCATGTTGCCTGAAGGACAGAGAGGAAGTTGGGCGTGGTGGTGCACACCTATAGTCCCAGCTACTCGGGAGGATCAATTGAACCCAGGAGTTCGAGGCTGCAGTGAGCTATGGTCGTGCCACTGCACTCCAGCCTGGATGACAGAGTGAGACCCTGTCTCTAAGAAAACATAAGATACAAAAGAACTAAGAGGGTAGGGATTGCTGATAATGCTCCCTGCAGTCAGGGGCAGTAAGGGGAAGGACCAGGGCCTTTCTCTGCTATGCGCACAGGTGAGAGGGGAGTGAAGAGTTATCAGCTAAGCCCTTTAGCTCAAAGGTAGCTTATTCCCTGGTCAGACTGGCTGTCGCCAGGGCACTGCTCCATTCAGGTTTGCTGAGCAGATACAGGGTGCCCAGCAGAAGGGTCTCTGGCCCATGGCTGGACACACACCAGGAATGCAGTCCATGTCCACTGCAGTGGACATAGATAATCATGAGATCTCAGGGCTGGAATGTGAGACTGCGTCCCTGCCCTCGAATCTCCGCCCCTCACACCGCCCTCTTCACCATCCCAGCCCCTCCCTATCCTTACCGCCTTTGCTGTTGGAGTTACTCAGCTTCCCTTCTGCTTTCTTGGTACTGGCAGAGGGCTTGCTGGGGGCCTTGCGGGACACAGCAGACCCTGAGGGACCCTTATTCTCTTCACTGCTACCCCCTGTAGTGGAGCTCCCCTCATCTCCAGCCACTACAGTGAAGTCTGCCTTCTCCTTGGACAACTGGTACAGTTCCTGAGGCGGGGAGGGACAATGTCAGAGGGTTTCATTGCCTTCCCAGACTGGCCTCAGAGGTGATGTGTGTGGTGTGTTTTAGGCGCATGTGAGAACAAAGATGTGAGAAAGATAAAGAGCAAGGAAAAGGAGTTGGCTTCCTTGGTACCATTCCAAAGTGTGGCCCTATAGCCTGAGTAATCAGGGTACAAATCATTGTTCTCAGTACAGCAAAGCAGGGACTGAAGGCTGGGGCAACAGGAGCAAACTCTTATTCCCCAGACCAAGGGCTGCTCAGTGGGGCCTCGCAAATGCAAGGTTCTCTGCTCAGAGATGAAGGGAGAAGGAGGTCTAGTGCTATGCCCCTGGCCCAGCAGCAGTTTGTTTCCCTCTCTAATTGCCCTCCTTGCTCTGCCACAGGAGAATGGGGGAAAAGAGAAGACAGAGGACATGTCAATGGTCCAGATGCCCAAGGCTCCAAGGCCTGGACAGTGGGGTGGAGAATACACATACAGCCTAAGAGCTGCTACCTTGAGTTGGGGAAGGTTAGTGGCAGATTTCCAGTCCTTATCATCTCGGATTCGGGTGCAGCGAGGGAATCGGATGGAGATCCCATCAGCTGTGTGAGCCTCCGATTTGGAGAATTCAGCCCCTGTGATCTCCCACACGGCAGCTTTCTGTCAGGAGTAAGTCAGCAGGTCATCACTGGTTAAGAAGATAGTATCAGTGGCCGGGCGTGGTGGCTCATGCCTGTAACCCCAACACTTTGGGAGGCCGAGGCGGGTGGATCACCTGAGGTCAGAAGTTTGAGACCAGCCTGGCCAACATGGTAAAACCCTATCTCTACTAAAAATGCAAAAATTAGCTGGGCGTGGTGGCGCGCCCCTGTAATCCCAGCTACTTGGGAGACTGAGGTGGGAGAACTGCTTGAACCTGGGAGGCGGAGGCTGTAGTGAGCAGAGATCTTGCCACTGCACTCCAGCCTGGACAACAGAGTGAGACCCTGTCTCAAAAAAACAAAACAAAACAAAACAAAACAAAACAAAACAAAAAGATCTCCCAACCAGCTAGAAGCAATACAGAACAGTTAAAACCACAAAGGTGGCCGCGTGCAGTGGCTCACGCCTGTAATCCCAGCACTTTGGGAGGCTGAGGCGGGCAGGTCACCTGAGGTCAAGAGTTCAAGACCAGCCTGACCAACATGGAGAAACCACGTCTCCACTAAAAATACAAAATTAGTTGGCCGTGGTGGCACGTGCCTGTAATCCCAGCTACTTGGGAGGCTGACGCAGGAGAATCGCTTGAACCCGGGAGATGGAGGTTGTTGTGAGCCAAGATCGTGCTATTGCACTCCAGCCTGGGCAACAAGAGTGAAACTCCGTCTCAAAACAAAACAAAAAACAAAACAAACAAACAAAAAACCAAAGAAGGCTTTGGCTAGCAGCTGGGAAACTTGGGTCCCAGTTCTGCTGCTGCTGCTGCTGAATAACCTTAGGGAAGTCCTGTTTGTTCTCTAGGTCTCTTTCTTGGTCAGTACAAGAAGGGATTGGGCCAGATTACTTCTAGAACACACCCTTCGCGCTGAGTGGATAGGTACTCTCTTCTTCTTCTCTCTCTCTTTTTAAAAAGCAATTGTATTGCAGAAAGAATTCTATTCAAAATTCCTCAGAGTTGTCCGGCTGTCCCTGTGCCTATCACTTGGCTGGAAATCCAGATCCCCACCCCTGGGTGGACTTTCAGCGAGGTGAGATGGATTCTCTATGGCACTAGAGAACCTGCAAGCTAATTCTATGGGCTGGAGGACCCCAAGCCATTGGGTTGATACCTTTGGGTCTGGGACGATGAAGTCAGGATAGTAGATCTTGTTGACTTTCAGCCAGCTAGGTATTTTGCTGGGGTCCTACAGAAGAAAAGATGCTATTTTGGGCTGTTCCCAACCTGGATCAAGGCTTAAATCCCTTCTCCTGGTAATGAGATTATAAGAAGCCACTTAAACAGCTGACTCTTGAGCAATGTGATCCTCCCAGGCCAGAGTGGGTATGACCTAGAGGCATGCAAGCCATTTTCCACAAGGCAGGCATTCAGAGATTTTAAGGCCTAATCCTGCTCCCCTAAGCAAGCTGCAACCCTTCTTTCTGGGGAGACAGATAAACAATACCTGTAATCCCCAAAGCACAGCCTCTGTCTCAGTGATCATGGCCAGTCCAGAGGCCAGGGTCAACCAAGTCCCTTCCTCACCTTGCTGATCTTCACCATGTCTAGTTCATTCTGCAGGCGGGCAAGCGTGGCGTCATCATGGCCTCCTGCACACTTGGTGACTGTGCACCACTTCTGGCTGCCAGGGTCGTAGCAGCCCATGAGGAAGATTGACATCATGCCGCCTGGGAGGGGAGTGTGAGATGAGTGTGGGTTGGAGGAGCCATCTCTGCCAGCCCCAAGAGCCCAGGAGAGGGAGCCCGGGGCCAGGGAGAAGACCTGGGTCCCAGCCGTCAGAGTGCCAGAGTTTACCTCTTGGAGCTACCTCTTACTAGCTGTGTAATTTTAACCTTTGTAAGCCCTGATTTCCTCTTTTGTAAATTAGGGATAATCACACCCAACGTGTTGGGCTATGGGGCATTGAATTGTGTTGGACACATGACAGATTGCTTAGAAGTATTAGTTCCTCAGACTCCAGCTTCCTCTCCAGTCAGGAAAGAGATTTTCCCTGAGGAGAAAGCTGTCAGGTCCTGACAAAATAATTGGTGGTAAGCGTCCTTCTGCTAGGCTAGCATAGGGTACTCAGTGACTTCTCCCTAACCAAGTAAGCAGGCCAGCTTGGGGCCCCAGATCCTAGGACTTCGGAAGTCATGACTGGCCATGCTGGCAGATCAAGCCAGTAACAAGGCCAGCCTGTACCTCAAGCGATGCCTTCTAAAACAGTACCACCCCAGTGGGCAGAAGCCACCCTGACCTTTGCTCCCTTGCCCATAGAAGGCCCCAAGGACCACCAGGTCAGCTGTGTCGGCCATGGCCCCCTCATTCAAATAGTCCTTCTTCACTTTCAGCCAGTGCCGCTTCCCAGGCTCATATGTACCCTGAGGTGAAGCAAAAGAGAGACCACAGAGTAGAAAGGCAACTCCATGAGGATGGGTTCACCCCTTCACTGCTACACACCAGATCTAGCCCAGTGCCCCTCCCTCAGGGGAAGAGCCCTCAGGCTCCAGGCACTACAGGAGACACACAAACCAGCCCTCCAGATCCAGGACACATCTGCCCACAGCCTGGAAAGGCTTCCCCAGCAGCCACCCCAACCACTGCAGGCTGCCACCGCCATCTCCTGGTCAGGGCTGGAAAGGCTCAGGGGAGAGGGCTGTGAGTGAGTCGACAGGAGAAAGCAAGCAGGGCCACCTTACCTTCACATCCTTCAGCACCAGCCCCTCCAATCCCTCCCGGATCACCCGGGTTATCATGTCAGCCAAGTCCGAAGCTTTCTGAGGGACAAGAGAGATGCTGAAGTTGGTGTGAGAGTGGAGAAGGTGGTGAGGGGGTTGTTCCTTTTCACACACTACTTAAGTGCCCAATGGAAACACCCTTACTTGAATATAAGGGACAAAGGGTTAGAAAGCAGGTTGCTTCTCATTCCAACGAGAGGGCTGCTGTGGCTTTGAAACACAGGGGGCTTACCTAGGAAGGATTTCCATGCCCTACCCTTCTGGGTGAAGACTAGCAGACAACATACACAACAGTCAAATGCAAACATTATCAGGAGGCTGCATAAGACATTAAGATTTATTCTTCCAGTTGCAGTTGACCCAAGGAGTTCTCTGCCCTGCTTTCAAACTTCTAGGACACTGCCTAGCGTAGGGTCTTCACTTACTGTGACTCGCTTCATTTCTGAGAACATGATCCGGTTTGGAATTTCAACCATGTTGTCATGAAGAAACTTCCGCCGCTCACACAGAGGCCTGAGGAGAACAGGAGAGCTGAGGTTAGGCCGGGATCCTCCCACCCTTATTAGGAATTCTGAGGAAGGAAGGGCCACAATGATAAAGCTGCTACTTCAAGAAAGGGTTTGCCATGGATCAAAGACCTCATGTGTAACAGCTCTGCTGTCAAGGGCTGCAAGGGCTCCATCGTGACCGAAGATGGACAATTGTGAGCTGTGGCATAGAGCCAGTTCATAGTTGTAGTTCCTATTTCTACTTCATCAAGTGAGCCAAGGGAGAACTGGCCTCTAGCCCAGATTGTATAAATTCTGGTCCCACTTGAAAAGTGACTCCAACTCTCATTTTTTATCCCCCGCACCCTGCTTTGCCCCAGTCCCAAGGCCAACCCCTGGGTAGGCAGGCTGAGACAAGCCTCGGGACTCAAACCCCAAATCCTACCCCCACCAATTCCTTCCCTCTCTACTTCTTTCTCCTTCCCCGATCAAGGATGTGGCTGCTGCAGGAGGAACGGGGTAGAGATACATTTCTAAGTGAGGAAAGGGCTGATATTGGTTTCTCAGGCACAAGCATATGGATGCAGCTAAGTCAAGACTGCTCATTCTCTCCAAGATGGTCCCACCCATAGCCTCCCCTATAATCAGGAGCTTCCTGTTGTCAGTCTCTTCTGAAATCAAAACGTTTGAGCTGAAAACCATCTGCCTTATGCCCCTAGGGGTGTCATTGGAGAAATAAACTGAAACCCCATATGCTCACAGTCTATTTCTCTGCAATAGTCCATTTTGCTTTAGTAGAGAAACTTCTTTGGGGGTTTGGGTTTCTTCTGTGACTTAAGCTCTCAGAGACGAGATGGAGTCAACACGTGGGCTCTTTCTTACACTGAACGGGGAGCGGACCACGTAGCAATTGTGCTTCCTCTCAGCTCCCTCTTGCCATTGCCTTTGGCAAGCTCCTGAGTGCAAACGTATGTGCCAGCTGGTTCCCCGTACCCTCCTTTCCAACCTGAAGCCCCCATCTTCCTCATCGAGGAAATGAAAACAGACTCCTGGCAGTTTCTGGGTTTAAAGATGCTAGCCAACTCACCTGTCCATCAAGCTGACATCATTAAAGTAGATACAATCAAAAACAAACAGGCAGACATTAGCATCCTGGAAGGCTGCTTTCTGTAAGGGAAAATGAGGTAGTAGGTATACAAAGAACAAAAGTCACAGAGCATGACAAAATAAGGAGTACCAGTCCACTTCTGGAGGTACTAAGGCACCGAATGAAAAAGTCCTATTTCTGCTCTGAAGCCCCTGGGCCATAAGGGCACTGAGCAGATAGTGCTAAATGGAAACCAACCCAATTATAACTTGGTTCCCAATACCAGTCCCTTTTGAGGAGAAAAGCAAAAGACAAAAAACCAAACCAGAAACAGGTCAGAAGCGAAGAATAAGGCCCACACTAAGTGATACTTCCTTCCTTTTCAGACTGCAGCATGCATCCACATGTACATACTCATTCATTCTTGCACATATGGCCCTGAGGCAGTACCTTGTGCACTCCCAGAGTCCCAAAGGGCAGTGGTTTGCCTGTCTTGCTGTCAATCAGAAGCACCTCAGAATCCAAGATCATGCTGTGTCCCCCAGGAAAAGCCTGGGGGATGTAGTCCTTAAAGTGGGCTACCTGAAAGCAGAAGGGGAGCTTTGGTGAGGGATGACATGGCAGCAGGGACCCCAAACCATGCCATAGAGGGCAAAGCCTGGGCCCCAGATGGGATACAGAACAACATGTGGAAGGCCCAGCTAATGCGCAAAACATATAGCTAGGCCTTGCGAGCCACCTGGACAAGAGGGAGAGGCCATCTGTTTCAGTACTTCTGTCCAGCCCCACGAAGAGGTCAGCCCATGCTGAGTCACTTTCTATGGGCTGTAGAGAAGGTACAATTTTTGAGGCAAATGGAAGAAACAGAGAGATTAAACCTGTTGGGGTAGGAGGAGGAGGGTGGGTGGGCAGAGATTAGTGCCTACTGCGGAACATGTGTGACTGTCAGGCTGGGGATTGGATTAGGGGAGAACAGACTGCTTGAAAACAGAAAGGTAGAAATGAACCCCCTCAGGTGCAACAAGGAAACTTGAGCAGTGTCTTCTCTGAGCGGGAGCCCTGAACCCATAGCCATCACTACCCAGGATGCTTAGAGCAGGAACAGGAAAGGCCAGCACATCCATGCCATTCCCCTTCAATCCCTAACCTAGCCCTTTAAGAACCCAAATCACAGGAGAGGCAAAGGATGAGTGAACACTGGGTAAGGGAAAATTAAGGAAAGGACTAAATCTGGAAAAGTGTGCTCAGACTTCTTCCTGGGTCACAGATGGTGTCTATTTAACACCAACCTCACCAGAAGCAGCTCCTCAGTGATTTACAGTGCTTCACAGAACACGTGAACCTGCACTAAAGCTCCACAATGAGGCCACTGCTTAGCCCTCCTCTTGAACATATGAAACAAATGGCCTGCTTTGTTCCCAGTGCTCCAGCAGGAAGGCAAGGCTGAGGTAAGCATAGGGGCCACATAACACGTTCCCCTGAACCCCCTGGGGCTCTGAAAAACTGAATCTGGGCTAGGAAAGAAAAGGATAGCAAGGATAGGAATTCCATCTGCTCACAAGCTACCGGAGCCAGATGTTCCAGCTGCTTTTTCCTGAAGACACCCCCAAAGGTTCACAGTAGCCTTGGGAGTGGAGAAGGGCTAAGGAGTAAGGTTCCAAATGCCACCCCTGATTAGAGCAGGAATTTGGCTCCCAGATGTCCCCATAAGACTGTGTTTACATCAGAATGTAAACTTCATGATGGCCAGAACTTTTGTCCAGTTTTTCCACTGCCATATCCCTACTAGTTATAACAATGGGTAAACATCTGATAAATAATTCTTGAACAAATTAATGAATGACAGCCCAATAGCCTGTGGTATATAAGCCTTAGTCTAGCTCACGGGAAGCATCTGGGACATGGAAACACAAAAGATACACAGCAACTCACCAAGTGAGCTCGCTGTCCCAACCAACATCACTGTGGGCAAAAGAAGTATCACTGTTCCAGGGAGCTCTATCCTCACTAACCCAAGTCAGGGCTCTTTGGCTCTCCCTGCTGAGCAGCCCTTCGTTACTGGAAGACTCCAAAAATGAATAAATCAATTAATTCATTCAACAAATAAAAAAGAAACCCTTATTGTGTACCACAGCTGGAATGGCTATGGGACTCTGGGCCTGAGATTGTTAGAGGCACAAAGGGGAAAGATGGTCCTGGCGGAAAGGAAGGGACTCATACCTTGTGAGGCAGGACGGGCTTGAGACTGCGGCTGAAGTAGCTGAAGTGGTCTCCATTCTTATGCACTTGGACTCGCTCTCCATCGTACTTGATCTCAGAGAACATGCCATTGGGACATTTCTTCATTGCGTACTCAATGGACTTGCAGGCCTCCGCCTTGGGGTGTGGAAAGCAAAGCCTGGAGACTTTCAATGAGGGGCTGCTAAGCAGCAACAGCCAAAGACCTTGTAATTGGGTTAGTGAGGGCAGGACCTGGGTCTTGGGGACTGACTGCCCATAATTAATGCTCAGGGAAGGCTGTTGAAGAGGTGATGGGAACGGAAAGGGCTGGACAATGTTGTATTCTGCCTATAAAATAATCGCCAGAGCTGACACAGGAGCTCGCCTTTTGAGGAATATGAATGCTATTCATTGTACAACAAGTAAAAGCCCAGTGAAACAAGATTTAATTTTTTTCTCAATAATTCAGGCTCTTGCAGGGCCTCTGGCTTCTTACTAAACACATCAGTTCTCCCAGTAAAAAAGGTCTATGTGAAGCTAAGGTTAAAGAGTGCCGGTGACAGTGAGGCTGACAGGGTGAGTGATTGGGGGTCCCTACAACAGGGTTTCCAGATACTGGAGTGCTTACTTACATGCCTACCTGTGCTAGCCTAACTCCAACAACAATAGCTACCATTTTGGGAGTACTTCACACACATAATCTCATTTCATCCCTGCTGTGACATCCTATGTGACAAATATTGTTTTCATCTTTGGATAACAAAACTGAAGGTTAGAGAGATTAGGTGCTTGCTTAAGTTACACTAACGAATGGCAAGAATGAGATTTGAATCTAGGCCCACCTATAAAACCTGTGTGGTTAACCACTAAGCTATATAACCCATGCCAGTCTTTAAATGACAAACTAAAGAACAGACGCCAGGAGGCATTTTTATAAAAGTCAGAAAGGCCACTACTGCAGGTGGCCACAGTCCCATCTCTGGAATGGAGATCTCACTGTTTTGATGCTGGCTATCCCACATTCCTCGCAGGGAGAGAACACTTCCCTATCTCAAACATAAAACCCTAACCCAAGGCGTTAGCATGACACACAAGACAGTTTCAAAAAAAGCACTGTACATCACTCAAAAATCCAAAGAATCTCACAGTAGGCATGGCACCATATGTGGTGGGCCCTGTCACACAGGAAAACTGATGCTGGAAAGGAAACCCCATTTCTTATGAAATGAGCAGAGGCCCAGGCTGATGTCTGCCAAAATCAGCCTTCATTCCTTATGTGTCCTCCCTCTTCCCAAGTCACCCTGTCACAGGAAGCCTGGCTCTGCCACCAACTCTCAGATCTACTTTGCAGTAGGTCACAGAATCTCAGGGGTTACTTAATACATCCATCTGTCTTCAGGTAAGATAACAGATAAACCATTCTAGGGAGATGCCTCAGGCAGTCTCAGACGTCATCCACACAGGAGACTGAAGGACAAGAGAAACTAAATCACTCATCTAAGATTCTACAGCTTCTTGGTGGCACAGCTGGGCCTACGGCTCAGGTCTTTCCACTAGATCTTCTGTGTTCTCCTTTGCCTTCACTTCCTACTGAGAAATACCCTCTTGCACCTCCCTCTTCCTTCCCCAAACTCCTCCAGTCAATTTGCAAGCACTCTCAACACTCATACCCTATCGGATCTCAGCCCGAAGGATGTGGAGCTTGGAGAGGCTGGAGAGCAGAGGCAGGGCAGCACTCCTCACCAGCATGGGCTGCACGGGTGTCATCGGCGAGGCCTGGACGCTCAGAGCTCGTCTCTGGCCTGGCTCCTTCTCCACCTCCTGCGCATTGTGAAGGACCCGTTCCACCACATCCTGCAGGTTGCGCGAGGCTTTGAAGGCTTCATAGGCATTGGGGTCAAGGGCGTCTAACCTGCCAAGGGGTACAGGAACAAGGAAACAAAACCACTGCCTTTGTTTGACTCCATGGCTTTGGACAGCAATCTGTCCTCACAGGAGAAATCCTCATCTGTAGGGAAGGGGTTGTGTTCTACTGTCTAAAGATTTTTACAAGAGGAGAGAAAACTCTTGGAAAATTCAGCTCTTTCGAGATACTGTGCCTGTGTGCATGATGCCTTAGCGAGGGGCTGGAGTAGGCAAGAGACTCATGAATGGATTCCACACTTCAACTATAACAACTCTGTGAGAAAGGTACTGTTATCTCCATTTTATATAGGAGAAAACGGAGGCAGAGACAGGTCAAGTGACAGATCAGGGTCCCACAGAAAGTAAGAAAGTTGAATGGGGATTCAAATCCTGATTGGGACTCAGAAGTCCTGATACCAGTTGGGAACAAATGAAGCTACCAAATGACAGCTCGGGCTGTCAGAGGAGCTGCTACTTACACATGTTTTGCACCTGAGTTCATCTTCAGATCATGTTTGATCAACCTGATGATGCATTTAAGGTCATTGGCTGTACACCTAGAGGAATGAGGCACATTTAACTTGGTCTTGAAGAGCTCTGGAACCCCAAGGGAACCTTCCCTTCCCAAGAGAGTTCATCTCTCTATGCCCAATCCCCATTGGGCATGGTTTGACGGAGGCAGCTCCCCCACCTGGAGGCAATGTCCTGCAGGGCCTGTTGCTGCTCATCCTCCTTGGTGAGCCTGGACAGCCGCAGAAGGAACTCATCCACCTCCTGGATGGTAAGGAGGCTCTTGGCAGCTGGGGGGAAAGACTTGCTCTGCTCAAAGAAGACTCTGATTGTCTCTGACACGTCACCCTGTCTCCAAAAACCAAAATGCCACTGCTGCAACCCTAAGGTGGCCACGTGTATCCCCCAAGACCCAGGACTGAACATGAATCAAGAAATTTCAATCATAGCTCCTATCCCAACTCAACATATCTAGCCCACTTCTTAGAGACACTAGCCCATCCACAATTCCTAGAAGGGGATGGAAACTTGCCATGGTACCAGGGATAGAGTCACGAACAAACCAAAGCTTGGTAAACCCAAGTTACAGGAGAAAACAAGCGAGAAAAAAGAGTACAGAATAAGAGCCCCAGGAGAGACAGAGGGGGCAAGTCTGAAATTCTGACTTTTGAGAACCAGGCCTCTGTGGTTCAGCAGTGGTATGGTTTCCGTCCTCAGAAACTTACGAAATTAACAGCTATAGCCTCACATTCAGCTCCCCCAGTAACAAAGGCTTGCTCAAATGGGTTTCAGTTTCCTAAAACAGTATGTGTCCCAATCAGAAAAAAAAAAAAAAAGAGGCTGCAGGTGCCTGGCTTGGCAAAACCCTACCTGGAATGTAGCCTACCCTCCCTCCCCTTCCTCTGACCTGCTCTAGGTCCCGTGCCATATCATCTGGGTTGCAGTTAAAAATGCGACTGAAAAGCTTCACAATCTGCTTATCATTCAAGTTGTAAACAGTCTTAATGACTCCTGGCAGCAGCAGCTTCACCGTTAGGTACACATCACCGTGGAAACCATCTGGAGATAGAAGAAAGGAACCCTTCTTGAGAAATAGAGCTTAAACACATAAATATATAAACTCAAAGAAGACTGGGCAAGGTGGCTCACACCTGTAATCTCAGCACTTTGGGAGGCTGAGGCAGGAGGACTGTTTGAGCCCAAGAGGTGGAGGTTGCAGTGAACTGAGATTGCACCAGTGCACTCCAGCCTGGGCAACACAGCCACATTTTTTTGTCTCAATAAATAAACAAACAAACCCAAAGAAGCAGAGCCCAAAACATATCTATATATCACTGCCCACGCTCCTATAGTGCCCTGTGCATATTGCTACAGTAGGAGACAGCATGGAGTTCAGAGGCTGGTGGACTGTGTGACTGCCTCGCCTTTAGCCTACAGATGAACTCTCGTTGGACAGAGTGGTTACTTTCACTTCAGGTGCCCAGTGACAAGGACATTACAGATGCTCATTGACAATTTGTTAGATAAATTAAAGAAACAGAGTTGGAAGATTCTATTCCAAGCTGTGTATATGGTTCACAAAAACCTAATTAAATATGTAGGACAGTAAATTTTCTAACTAGTCAAATAGGATGGGTTCTCCTGGCCTCCTAGGAGCAGAATAATGGGAGAGGAAGAAAGATGCCAAAGTGCTCTGAAAAAAACTGGTTACATAATTTGAGGAGTACAGTGCAAAATGCAAATGCGAGGCCCTTTGTTCAAAATTATTAAGAATTTCAAGACAGACTACAGTAAAGCATTAAACCAAGCATGGGACCCTGGGCAACTACACAGCTCACATGCCCTGGAAGGCAGTCATGGCCTTGAGCTCTCTGGAGGAAAGGCCTATTCAGGATGCCCATGCCACACCTCCTGCTGAGCCTTTCCGCAGGAAGTCCTGGATGATCTGGGTCTTCGTGTTGTAGCTAGGATTATCGGCCACCATGGCGCATAACTTTCGAAACTCCCGTAGCAGACAGTCCTTATGCTTGGGGTCACATTTGCTTGAAGACAGACTTCTCTTAGGGGTGGGGCTTGAGGGGGCTTCCCCAGAGTTGTTGGGCTTGGCTGTTGGAGAAACAACAGAGATGAATTCATTCTGCCTTTCTGAGAAGAAAGAAAGGGAAGGAAGGAAATTAACAGATATTCTGCTGGTACTTTAGCTTTATTTACTCTCCCCGAATAGACCTTTGGGGTAGATGTCATTATACCCATCTTACAGATAAAGAAATGGAGGCCAAGTAATTTTCTCAAATCTTACAGCTATTAATTAATGGTAAAGGAGCAATGGCCTCCTTAGACCAAGCAAAACACCAGACTGATGTGCATCTCTTTATGTGAGCACTTCACAAAAGAATAAAGACCGAAGTCATGCCAAGAATGATCAGGACTGGCTGGGCACCGTGGCTCACACCTGTAACCCTAACACTATGGGAGGCCAACGTGGGAGGACTGCTTGACCCCAGGAGTTTGAGACAGCCTGGGCAACATAGGAAGATTCTGTCTCTAAAAAATAAATAAATAAATAAATAAATAAATAAAGCGGTCAGAAGATTCTCAGAGCAATTGTAAAGCTGACCCCAGAAAAGTTGGCATGAGAAAGGAGTAAGAAATCAAGGCACATGTTAGTCAATGTGAAATTACTGCTATCACAGGTTGTCAGAGCTGGAAGAAGCCTTAAAGATCATCTAGTTCAATGGTCTCTTACTGATAAGGCGATTGAGGTCTGACAAAAGCAAATGACTTCCTGGCCCACTTCCTTGTTGAAAGAGCCAGGACAAAGACACTACTAAGAAAGTCAGATCCCACTAGTACATTCAACATCCCCACCCCTTGCCACTTCAACCTTTCTTTTCTTATTGTCAAAATAAAACCCTGCTCCCCAAGGAGCAGTTATAAAAAAAAAAAAATACATTTTTACAAAAGGTGGTCAAGGGGCAGGGCTTTCCTCCAGATGCTTAAAAATAACTATGCGCCACTCATCGATCACTTTGTGACCATTTACAAAGCAAATTTTATTCACAAGCTTGTGGCAGAGCCATTACTAAGCTAACTGCTGTTGTACGCTGCTTCTTGTCTGGGCTTTGTAAATTATAAATCCATCCTCATCTCTGATACGGAATCTAAATACGATTTTAAGGGACAAAATCTCCAAAGTGTCAATGTTCAACCAGGTTGCAAGAACTAAAACACTGTTTCTCTCAACTCCTCTCAAATTCCATCCCCAACACCAGAGCCCTTCCAGAAACATGCTGTCCTTCTCATCACCTGGACTCTTCTCTATCTTTGGCCTACCAGCAAACAACAAACAAACCAAACTCAGAATTTTAAAATAATAAAAATCCTATAGAGCCAGGCACCATTTTTGCAACGTTATCTCTTATAGTCCTCATGAGAACACTATGGGGTAGATGAGGCACGGAGATATGATGAAGCTTAAACAAATAAATACACAACCTCAAGGAAGCAGAGGGGAAAGTAATTTATATATTGCTGCCTATGCTCCCATAGCACCCTGTACATAACACTATGGTAGGAGAGGCCACTGCTGCTTCACAGACAGAGGCTGAAGTGAGGTAAGGACATGCTCAGGGATCTGAGCTGTCAAGGATCAGAACCCAAGTCTTCTGACCTCAGGTCTAGGCTTCTTTCAATCACACAAAATGTCTTTCAATCTCCAAATGACTTCTAAAATAAGGCCAGGTGGTTTGGCTTTATTTATTTTCTTCAACTGAGTCAATCACAAGAATGTCTCCAAACAATAAACGCAGCAACACAGTGTAGTATAAAAGAGCACAGATACTGGAGTCAGACTTCAGTGCAAATACTAACTCCATGATAACCCTGAACTTCAACTTTCTCAGTCATAAAAAAGGCCTAATAAAAAGTACTTCCTAAATAAAAGTACTGTCTAGGGTTAACTGAAGAACAAATGAAACTACACATGTAAAAGCCCCTAGTCCAACGCTGTTTACGTAAGGCCAATAAATGATCCTGACCTTCTCAACTCCCATCTACACCACATGCCCCAGCAAAGTCTTCCTGAATCCCTGTCTATGAAACAGCAATTCCATATTTTATATAAAAGAAACTATATATGTGTGTATACACGTGTGTGCATGTGTGTATTATAGTGAAGAGAAAAGGAAACAACACTTTATTGTTCATCTGTCCTACAAAGAATATACAATAGCCACAGTCCTCCCCTTTAGGAGATGGGATTTGAACCCAGAGCTCACTGATTCCAAAGTCTGCAAGCTTCATCCCTAGGCTGTACTGCCTCCCAACAAATAGCAATATCTTTCAGATCTTTTTTTCCTCCCTTTGTGTTCCATAAAGTTCCAGTGTTTTGAACAAACAGTTGTAAGAATCAAGAAGGGAGATCCATGCATGACATCTCCCTTCTTCCATATTTTCATCTCTAGGCATATTCAGGGGTACAATTTCTCAAAATTCCTTCATTATCAAAACACAAGGAAGTAAAAGACAGGTTCTAATAATCTCTGTCTGACCCAGGTAACTATTTCAAGGGGAAAAAGTCTTGACAAAACAAATCTTTCTGCTGCAATAGAGGTTCAAGTACAGAAAGAAACGCTATACAAGTGGAATGCTGGCCAGACACAGTAGCTCACGCCTGCAATCCCAGCACTTTGGGAAGCTAGGGCAGGTGGATCACCTGAGGTCAGGAGTTCAAGACCAAGCTGGCCAACGTGGTGAAACCCCATCTCTACTGAAAATACAAAAATTAGCCAGGCGTGGTGGCAGGTGCCTGTAATCTCAGCTACTTGGGAGGCTGAGGTGGGAGAATCGCTTGAACCCGGGAGGTGGAGGTTGCAGTGAGCTGAGAATGCACCACTGCCCTCCAGCTTGGATGACAGAGCAAGACTTCATCTCAAAAAAAAACCCAAAAACCAACCAACCAACAAACATAAAAATCAAGTAGAAGGCTTAGCATTAGCCATTACCTGTTTCTGCTCAGACAGAAGCAAATTATTTATGAGATGAGATAGCACAGAATTTTCACTCTTAGCCAGAATCCTAAGTAGAATACAAAATAAAAGCAGCACTATAACAGCTAAAGTAGCCCTAACCTATCTTACCTGAAAAGCCAGAAAATTTCCGGGAATTGTTATTGGTGACAAATGAGGCGCTTTTCACTGGAGAAGTCACCTGGCCAGTGGTTGTCAACTTAGCCTGGACAACAGCTTTCTTCTTTGGTGTACTTGCTGCCTTAGAAGACAGATCTGTAGGATCACAAAAGAAGATAAAATATCCTTTAGTGAAAGATCTCTGAAAAAACATCCAAAGAATCTATCAACGGCTTCTAGAGCCTTGCCTGTTAAGTCACTACCCTAGCACTAGCCCAAGGCTGGCTGGTGGCTGGTAGTTTTTGAGTGGGGGTAGTAGGTAATAGGGTATTATGGGGAGAGGAGGGAAGGATATTCTGGAGACAAAAGATCTAGTTACGATTTACCTCTATTAGTAACTTAAGTTTTCATCAACATTCTCCACTTCTTATCCCATATATAAGTCTCCAGAAATAACAATTTGGGGGAAATCAGAAATCATAGTTTGATGGATAAAACTTAGGGAACGCCAACCCCACAGAATTAGCTTCAATTTAGAGATGAACAAAAAGTAAATGAGGATCACGGAGCATGTCAATCTAGCATAGGAAGGAAAATTTCCAGCTGCTTAATTATCTGAGTCATGAACTCTACCTGTATTTCTCTTCCTCCAAATGAGAGATGGGTCAAGAAGTAACAAAGGCTGAGGCCAATAGCTAAGGCAGTGCAAGGTGGGATGGGAAGCCTGAGAATAAAGTATATGGGAAGTAAAGTTTTCCTTCCTGGAAGTCTTTTTTCCTTTCAAAGAACAAGGACAGATACCCATTTTTAGTGCCATTGTTAACTGTCTTCCTACAGTGACCAGAACAAAATTGAAGATAAGAACATTATTTTACAGACGCTGAAGGTCAAAGAGGACTAATTGGATTTGGAGGTATTGGCATAAATTCTAAAATATACATATGTAAATATGCGTGTACATGCAAACCTGTTATACAGCCATATATAGGTATGAATTTTACATGCATATATTTTCTAGCTCTGTCTGCTGAAAGGGCTTAGAAACAGACACGCCATGGCTGGGTGCTCACGCCTGTAATCCCAGCACTTTGGGAGGCCAAGGTGGGCGAGGTCAGGAGTTCAAGATCAGCCGGACCAACATGGTAAAACCCTGTCTCTACTAAAAACACAAAAACTAGCCGGGTGTGGTGTTATGTGCCTGTAGTCCCAGCTACTTGGGAGGCTGAGACAGGAGAATCACTTGAACCTGGAAGGCAGAGGTTGCAGTGAGCCGAGATCGTGTCACTGTACTCCAGTCTGGGCCACAGAGTGAGACTCTGTCTCAAAAAAAAAAAAAAAGAAAGAAACAGATAGCCCATGACAATGTGGACACATAGCATCCAGGTTTTATTCTTTAATACCATTTCCCACTAACAGAAATCTGTACTCCCCAGAGAAATTGCGAATTTCAGGGCTGGGGAAGGATGCATATAGGATAAGACTAAAAGCATCCTGCTATACCCAAAGTAAAGAAGTATATTTAAAAAAGTAATGAGGGTATACAGGACACAGAGGACAGCGTAAAGGGGTTCCTAATTGGCCAAATATAAGACAATTAAGTATCAAATTAGTTAAGTACAGTAATGAATTATATGCTACAGGAAAAAAGGTAAAAGGATAGTAATCAGTACTCTATTCTTCCAAAATATCAATGTCTAAAAGACAGACTATGGAAATTTTTCAGATTAAAGGATGCCAAAGAAATACAACTAAATGCAACATCCGATGTGATCCTAAACTGGGATTCTATACTGCAGGAAAAAAAGCTATTGAAGGTATGACTCAATCCATTGACAAAACAGTATACAGATGGTAGATTAAAGTATTGTATCAAGGACAAATTTTCTGAAGATGATAGCTGTATTATAGTCACATAATGGTCATATATCCTATTCTCAAGGTATATACACTAAAGAATTTTAAAGGGCTATGATGTATGCAACTTATTCTTAAATGGTTTAAAGTGAGTGCACGCAGGTGTGTGTGCGTGTGTAAAGAGAGAGAGCACGTGAACAAATATGATAAAGCAAATAGAGTAAAATGTTAATTGGTAAATATGGGTAAAAGGAATATGAATGCTCTTTGTACTCTTTTTAATCTTGCAACACTTCAGTGAGTTTAAAATTATTTCCAAATAAAACGTTAAAGGCCGGGCATGGTGGCTTGCGCCTGTAATCCCAACTGCTTGGGAAGCTGAGTCAGGATGACCTGAGTCTGGTAGTGCAAGACTGCAGTGAGCTATGACTGCGACATTACATACTGGCCTGGGCAACAGAGTGAGACCCCATTTCTTAAAAAACAAAGTTAAAAAAAAGAGAAAGCAAGCAATTGAACTCCTTATCTCTCTTTCTGTCAGCACCAGTAAGATGGGAAAGCAGTGTTCTCTACCTTACCTGCAATGTGCTGGGTTATCTGTTCCTTCTCATTATCTTCCAGCTCTTCCCAGCCTTCCAGCTCTGTCAGGTCCTCGATTTTTTTTGTGGTGGCCCGGGCCCGCTCTAGTTTCTCAAACATGCATTTAATGTGGTACCACTCTTTCATATCACCCCCAGACTCTGAGAAGGGATTGGGCACCACTTTGCCAATTCGGCATATGCCCTTCACAATCTTTTCCTTGCATTTTTTGCAGCCAGCTGTGCCACGCTTGGCATAGTCCACACAGAACCGTTGCTCAGCCATCTCACAGGGGCCACTGCAGAGTCCCACATGCAACCCTGGCAAGAAAACAAGGCAGGTGGCACGTGATCTTAGATGGCTTCCCTGGAATGACAGAACAGGCTTTCTTCTCAGGAAGACGGGGTGTCCATGAAGCAGATCTGTTTCTGACCACTGGCTGAATTGTCTTACATCAGGCCTGTGATGTTCTCGGAATAGGTACAGTTCTTTTCGGCTGAGTGCACGGAGGGTTTGTGGAAAGGGGATCTTGAAAGCCAAAGACATATAGCTGCATGAAAGGGTAGGAGGCCAAAGAAAAAAAAAAGATATAAACAAGGAGATAGGCTTCCAATTTTCCAAAGGCCAGCCTCTTATATAATCCATGACGACTAATCAAACACTTTCCAAAGTATTACATTTATTGTCTACTCTACAGCATGAAAGAGTTCTGATACAGGAAAAGCCAGCTCACAAAAGGGTGTTCAATTATCTAATGCACACATGTACATCTAGTAAATCACAATGAAGAAAATCCAAATAACATAAAAGCTCTTTTTAGGTCATCAGCAACATATGATACTCATAATAGACGATGACCTTTAAGTATTACAAGATCCTGAAGTTTCTTTTTTTTTTTTGAGGTGGAGTTTCACTCTTGTTGCCCAGGCTGGAGTACAATGGGGCAATCTCAGCTTACCGCAACCTCCTCCTCCGGGGTTCAAATGATACTCCTGCCCCAGCCTCCCAGAGAGTTGGGATTACAGGCATGCATCACCATGCCCGGCTAATTTTTTTGGTATTTTTAGTAGAGACAGGGTTTCTCCATGTTGGTCAGGCTGGTCTACAACTCCCGATCTCAGGTGATCCGCCTGCCTTGGCCTCCCAAAGTGCTGGGATTACAGGCATGAGCCACTGCGCCCGGTCCTGAAGTTTCTTTTTAATCACCAGTAAAAATTACATTATGTTCATGAAGTTTTTATTGTGAAGTTTAACACATACACCATCCTCAGAAATCAAGCCACTATACAGATTTGGAATTGAGTTAGAATCCCTACATTGAGAGACAACTAAGCAGAGCCTGGAATCAGACTGCCTGAGTTCAAATCCTAACTCGGCCACGTACCAGCTGTATAACTTTGATGGGTTACTTACCTCTGTTTCTGAGCTTCCTCACCTGTAAAATGTGACTAATTATGGGACCTAACTCAAATAGCTATTCTAAGAGTAAAACCCTTAAAACAGTTGGGCACACAGCAAGAGCTCTCACTGATTAACGTCAGCTCCTATCATGATCAGTGAAGTCGTTATCTTTCAAGAAGAGGCTCCCGATGTGCAATTAACCTGTTTATAATTCAGCAACTTGAATCAGAGAGTGCTGAAGTAACCGGGCAGTAAGACTCACAGGAACTCATAAATCAATCCAAATGGAAAAAGATTATATCAGCATCTTCTTATATTCATGTTTTCTAAAGCATTTTATAGTCCTAGTTTTAAGTATACTGGAATTATGTTGTCTGAACAAGCTGTGAAGCAAAATTGCTATCATGTTAAAAAGCAGGCTTTGCTTACTGTAGTGCAACATGGTGTGAAGGAAAGCTGGTGGACCTGGAATAAGGGATGGGAGTGCAAGTCTGACGGTACAGTTTACCGACTGGTACCTCGGAGAAAACTTAATTTATCTGCATCTGTTTTCTTACTTCTAAAATAGGGTAAAAAATACCTACATCACAGGGTAGTTGGGAAAATTACAAGGAATCCATGAATGCGCTGGTTGTGGGGGAGGGAGGCGGTTCTGAACTCTCTAAAAATGTATACAAAATGTACATTCGAAAATGCACGGATTTTTGGAGGTCTATCACTTTCGTGACATTCACAAAGGGCTATATAACGCTCAAAGTTTAAGAACCACAGAGGTGAGGTGGGTGGAAGTACGGCAGACCCATAAAAGGAGGTCAGAACAAGTGAGTTTCAACACTTTCCCTGGAAGATCAATTTGCAGAGCAACCTCTAGGGCCCCAATTATGAAAGGAGTGGACTTGAGGGAGGCTCGGGAGGCGTTGGGCCACGAGGAGGCACAATGCAGCTTTGAGGAAACCCGTCTGTCCCTCGTTCCGCACCCTCACAACGGCCGCAGCCCAGGGGCCAGAAAGGGAAATCGCTGAGGCCTGGCCGCCGCAGCTTTTCTCGAAGGGCTTCCCGCGCCGCTGTCGGAGAATGGCGGGGACAGTGGGGCGGGCGGAGTAGGCCGCGACCCCCGGCGAGGCAGAAAAGATCGCTCCTCCACCGGGTCCGGGACGCAGGCGGGAAGTGATCCAGGCTCCCAGAGCCCCACCCGAGCGCGCCCGCTTCAGCGCAGGAGGACGCACGCCGGGCCGGGATACGAGAAGGCCCCGTGGGTTCCCCAGGGCACACGGCCCGGCGCCGGCTTCCCCGCCTCACGCGGCACCGTGGGGGTCCCGGGGAGCCGCGAGCCTCCCCCTGGGCTCCCGGGAGGGCCGCCACGTCACGGAGGGTGTGCCCCGGGGCTCCGCAGGCGGGCGGGGGAGGAGCCGGGGGGCTGGCTCCTCGGCCGCGCCGAGCTCCCCGCCCCGGCCCGCTGCCTTCCCCACGCCGGGCCCCGCCGCGCCGCTCCTCACCTGCCTCTCCAGCTCCGGCGCTCACCGCAGGCCTCGGGACTAGCTCACTACAGGCCGCCGGCAGCCCACGACGGTTGGAGCTCCTGTCTCTTTAAATCCGGGTCCTTGAGCTGGAGGCAGCACGCAGGCGCAAGAACCGAGGCCGCGGCCGCGCTACCTGTCCCCGCCCCCGTCTGCCACGTGGGTCATAGTCACAGTCTGCCTGCCCTGTGATGTTTGGAAGTAGTTTTCAACCTGCAGTCGCCGCCCGGGAAGCGGAGGTGAGGGGACGTGGTGGCTCCTCGGAACGCAGCCTGGCCTGAACTTCCGAGGATCCCCTTGATTTTCTCATACTGTTAGAGAGGATCTAGTTTTTAAAGATATTGTAATGAGGTCGGGGAAGGCAAAGATTGCGTCAATCTATTTTTTAAATATAATCCCTCTCTTTGTGTCCTGCAGACTGCCTAGTAAATAGTAGTCAGTAACTTTCATGGAATTGAGACGAGGCACTAAATAGCAGGTAGATATAAAATGTAAAGGAGTGATGGAGGAGAAACTCCTTGATTGTATATCGTTCAAAGTGTATTATCTTAAATCTGAAGCCAGCTGCATGAGAGTTGGGGATGGCGATTTTTACAAGTGTAGCAGCCTGAGGGTAAATGACCTCTTCAGAGTCTAGGAACAGCAAACAATTGGGCCTTGTTAGGTAAGCAAGGAACAGATTCCCGAGAGAATTCTGTGCTGTGTGATGAAGAGTTTCGTCTTTACTCTGTAGAGGATGGAGAGCCATGAAGAGTCTTAGGGAATACTGTTGAAGCTGGGTGGGGAGAGACTGAGGCAAGGGAACAAATCAGAAGGTTCTCATAGTGACCCATGTGGGAGATGAAATTCAGCTAGTTGGGGTGGAGAGTAAAGTGTGGTTTTGAAGATCATTTAGAATTTAAATGATCTAAATAAAGTGCTCATTTATGGATAAAATAATAATAATCTGAGTGAGCAGAAAGATAAGGGTACCATCAACTGAAATAGAAAATAGAGAGGCAGAGGAGGTGTTAGGGACAGAAGGATGAGTTTTGTATTGGATACATTAAGTTTGGTTGAGTAAGTTTAACTGCGATTCTAATGTTCGGAGGGGAGTAAAACCTGTTTTTAATGCGCAGCAGAATGAACCAGGGCTTTGGAATTGGAAGGTCACTGGAGACTCACGTCCTAGCTATGATAATTGAGTGATCTTGAGCACATCTCTATATTTGCTACATTTTTTTAAGTCTCCTCAACGGTATCTGTCTTTTTCCAGTGCTGTAATCACAGCCACAGGTGACTATTGAGCACTTGAATGTTGCATGGAATTGAGATGTGCTATAAGTGAAGAAAATACAAACCAAAAAATTCATACTAAAAAAAGTAAAATATCTCATTAATAATATGTACCACATAATGACATTTAGGCCAACAATGGACCAAATATAATAGGGTGGTCCCATAAGATTATAATGGAACTGAAAAATCCCTGTCATATAGTGACAGCACATTACTCATGTGTTTGTGGAGATGCTGGTGGAAATGAACCTACTGCATTGCCAGTTGTATAAAAGTATAATACACACAATTATGTACAGTATATAATACTTGATAATAAGGGACAATGTTGCTGGTTTATATATTTAGTATACTATACCTTTTATTGTCATTAAATTAATTAATTTATTTTTGAGACAGTCTTGCTGTGTTGCTCAGGCTGGAGTGTGGTGGCGCGATCTCAGCTCACTGCAACCTCCACCTCCCAAGTTCAAGTGATTCTCCTGCCTCAGCCTCCCGAGTAGCTGGGACTACAGGCACTTGCCACCGCGATGGGCTAATAATTTTTTTTTTGGTTTTTTTTTTTGTGCGACAGAGTTTTGTTCTTGTCTCCCAGGCTGGAGTGCAATGGCAGGATTTCGGCTCATTGCGACCTCTGCCTCCTAGGTTCAAGCAATTCTCCTCCCTCAGCCTCCTGAGTAGCTGGAATTACAGGCACCCGCCACCACGACCCGCTAATTTTTGTATTTTTAGTAGAGACGGGGGTTTCACGATGTTGACCAGGCTGGTCTCAAACTCCTGACCTCAAGTGATCTGCCTGCCTCAGCCTCCCAAAGTGCTGAGATGACAGGCTTGAGCCACCATGCCCAGCCTTATTGTTATTTTAGAGTATACTACTACTTACTTAAAAAAATAGCTAACTGTAAAACAGCATCAGGTAGGTCCTTTAGGAGGTATTCCAAAAGAAGACATTGTTATCATAGGAGATGACAGCTCCATGCGTGATATTGCCCCCGAAGGCCTTCCAGTAGGACAAGATATAGAGGTGGAGGATGGTGATATTGATGATTCTGACCCTGTGTAGGCTTACTAGGCTAATGTGTGTGTTTGTGTCTTAATTGTTAACAAAAAAGTTTTAAAAGTAAAAGGATTTTTTTTTAATAGGAAAAAGCTTATAGAATGAGGATATAAAGCAAAAATATTGGCTGGGCACAGTGGCTCACATCTCTAATCCTAGCACTTTGGGAGGCTGAGGCAGGAGGAGTTCAAAACCAGCCTGGGCAACATATTTATAAGAAAAAAATTTATTTAAAAAAAATATTTTTATACGACTGTGCTGTTTGTGAGTGTGTGTGTGTGTGTGTGTGTGTGTGTGTGTGTTTGACATAGAGTTTCGCTCTTGTCACCCAGGCTGGAGTGCAATGGCACGATCTCAGTCCACTGCATCCTCTGCCTCTCAGGTTCAAGCGATTCTCCTGCCTCAGCCTCCCAAGTAGCTGGGATGACAGGTGCCCACCACCACACCTGGATAATTTTTTTATAATGTTAGTAGAGATGGGGTTTTGCCATGTTGGCCAGGCTGGTCTCGAACTCCTGACCTCTGGTGATCTGCCCGCCTCAGCCTCCCAAAGTGCTGGGATTACAGGCGTGAGCCACTGCGCCCAGCTAAGCTTTTTAATTTTAAAATACTTGATTCTTTTGTAATAACCCTTAGTTTAAAACACAAACAGGGCCCATCGCAGTGGCTCACACCTGTAATCCCAGTACTTTGGAAGACCAAGGCGGGTGGATCACCTGAGTCAAGAGCGTTCGAAACCAGCTTGGCCAACATGGCAAAACCCCATCTCTACTAAAAATACAAAAATTAGTCGGGCATGGTGGGCATGCAGCCTGTAATCCTAGCTACTTGGGAGGCTGAGGCAGGAGAATCTCTTGTACCTGGGAGGTGGAGGTTGCAGTGAGCTGAATTGCACCACTGCACTGCAGCCTGGGCAACAGAGTGAGACTATCTCAAAAAAAAAAAAAAAAAAAAAAAAAAGAAAGAAAGAAAAAATAAAAGCTTATAAAGTAAAAAAGTTAACAGTAAGCTAAGGTTAATTTATTATTGAAAAAAGAAGACAGTTTTAAGGTAAATTTAGTGTTGCCTAAGTATACAGTTTATAAAGTCCAGAGTAAGGCAGAATAATGTGCTAGGCCTTCATATTCCCACACCACTCACTCACTGACCCACCCAGAGCAACTTCTAGTCCTGTAAGCTTCGTTCATGGTAAGTGCCCTATGTGGTGCACTCTTTTTTCTTTTCTCTTCTTTTCGAGACGGAGTTTCACTCTTCTTGCCCAGGCTGGAGTGCAATGACGTGATCACAGCTCACTGCAACCTCTGCTTCCCAGGTTCAAGCGATTCTCCTGCCTCAGCCTCCCAAGTAGCTGGGATTACAGACATGTACCGCCACGGCCGGCTAATTTTGTATTTTTAGTAGAGACGGGGTTCTCCATGTTGGTCAGGCTGGTCTCAAACTCCCAACCTCAGGTGATCCACCCACCTCGGACCATTTTCTTTTATACCTTTGTGTGTGTGTGTGTGTGTGTGTGTGTGTGTGTGTGCGCGCGCGTGTGTGCGCGCGCGTGATACTTTGCCTATGTTTAGAGACACAAATACTTACCATTGTGTTACAGTTGCCTACAGTATTCAGTATAGTAACATGCTGTATGGGTTTATAACCTAGGAGCAATAGGCTATACCACATAGCTTAGGTATGTAGTCGGCCATACCATCTAGGTTTTGTAAGTACACTCTACGATATTCCCATCACCAAATCACTTTCCGATGCATTTCGCAGAATGTATCCTGTTGTTAAATTACTCAAGACTGTCCTATCTTTATGTTAATTATTTATTGAAGTGATTTTTTGGATATGTTGTGTTAAATAAAATATATTATTAAAGATCATCTCACCTGTTTATTTTTACTTTTTTGAAAATGTGGCGACTAGAAAATATAAAACTGCATGTTTGGCTTACACTATATTTCTGTTAGAGTGCAGTGCCTTAGATTTCAAACCTACATGTGGAGGGCGGCATCTGTGCCATATGCTCAGTGCCTAGAACAGTGCTGGGCACACAGTAGATACTCAACAAATATTTGTGAATAATGAATGAAACTCATGAGTGAATGGAATGAATGAATAAAACTCTGGAAGTGATAAGATCCCCTAGAAGGATGTTTATTATATCGTAACAATATTTGATATAAACTTGCAAAGACTCAGGCTCTAAATGTTGATTTTTGCTTGACGAGAGCTCCCTGGACCCCCTGATTATCTCTGATTCAGGTCCCCTGCTGTGAAATGGAACTAGGTGCAAAAGAAATGGAACTAGGTACAAAAGCTGGCAGTTGCATTTCTTTAGAAAAGTGGGAACTGGCTGGGTGTGGTGGCTCATGCCTGTAATCCCAGCACTTTGGGAAGCCAAGGTGGGTGGATCACAAGGTCAGGAGTTCGACACCAGTCTGACCAACATGGTGAAAGCCCATCTCTACTAAAAATACAAAAATTAGCCAGGCATGGTGGCATGCGCCTGTAATCCCAGCTACTCAGGAGGCTGAGGCAGAAGAATGACTTGTACCTGGGAGGTGGAGGTTGCAATGAGCTGAGATCGCGCCACTGCACTCCAGTCTGGGAGACAGAGCGAGACTCTGTCTCAGAAAAAAGAAAAGTGGGAACTGCTGTACCAAGGAGAATGAGGCAAAGTGTGGTGGGAAGAGCAGGGCTTTGGATTCGCACAGACAGGTTTGAATTATGTTCCACTACCAGCTGTCTGTAACTTTTATCTATTTTCTTAACTTTCT